CTTTAAGTCGTGTATAATTTTAAACAAGCTGTGCTAGATTCCAAATGGGCTGTTCTGTTTTTTTCCTTCCGAAAGAGATAAATGGGCTATTTCATTTTCAGTTTAGCCAAACATTACTCAGTACAATGTGTAATTCACCGAAGTATGCCTCCCTACATCTAGTATTAGCTATAGCATATTAGTTCAAGACTTCAAGTTCACACTATTTTATGGCTTCATAGGATAGGGCACATCCTAACTTCTAAAAATCTTGCTAGTTCAGTCGCTCATCGTTCTTTCATTGTGTAGTCTGCAAAAAATTTTAGCCTTTCTTTTCATGAATGTATAACTAATTTTGTGCATTATTGGAAGGGTGTTCCCATTGGCGAAGGTTTCACACATTTGGGGGGGGGGGGTGGTTCTGGGAAGGGCATAATCTAGGGCATGTTTACCTTGCTTTTTGCAATAAAGTCAAACCCTTTACCTCTAAGGTACAAGGGGAGAGACTCCCCCGTTTGTGCTAGTGTTATGCATGATAAATTTTATGCATTGTTGAGTGGGTGTGATAATTTAAACTATTATTATTTGCTAGAACCCCTGCTCATGATAATTTTGTTGGGTGTCTCTATTTTTGTCTAAAAGAATTTTTTATACAACTGGCTTTTGAAAATAAGCTTCCTTGTCACAGGCCGGCTTGCAACTTTCCGTGACCCTCTATTTTTGTTATTCAAATGTTCACACAAGTGCCAAACTCTGAAGCATGTTAAGAAAGAAGCTAAATGATCACACATTTTCTGACCTCCACCGTCCTGTAATTTCTGCAGAGACACCGAAAAAGTGGCAATCATGAGATGAAGGAAACTGTGCAAGAGCTTGCTGTGCGAGCAGCTAAATATGCCAAAGCTGAAGCTGTAAAAAATATTGCACCACCAAATTCTGCTTATCAGTTTGAGGTTACTTGGCGTGGACTTTCTGGTGACCGTAATCTACAAGCTCAATTACTGAAGGTCTTGTCCAATAAGGCTCTCTAGTTCTTTTAGTCGATGACTTCGCAGACTTCCTTTAGTTGATAAGTTCACACTGCATTTTCCATTGGTTTTATGCCTTAACACTTCTCTCGCCTTTTTATGTTATACTCTTTTCAGGTGACATCACCCATATCATTACCACAGATATTTAAGAATGCATTAACTGCCTCTGCACTTATGGACATTCTCCGGTGTATTGCCACAATTTTCAGGTGTGTAGATGTGTGATTTCACCATTTACAAGCACCATTACCAAATATTCAACACCTATGTGGTTTTTCCTCTGTCAAGCAGGGAAGATGAAGAGTTGGCTGTTAAGTACTTGGAAAATTTGCCGAAGGTCCCAAGATTCAACATGATCATCATGTGTCTATCATCTTCGGATAAAGCTGGTATTTGTTTTATGATCATCTTGTTGTTGTACTCCATATTGCATACCACTTAATCTCGGGCCATTGTTTTGAAGTTGTTTCTGATTTGATCTAATCTGAGCTGAACTGATTCCAATAAGAATAAGTAATAAGAATAAGTTGAAGATAACATGTTCTTAATCTCGGGCCATTGTTTTATATATGTTGGTGACTAATGAGCGTGTTTGGTAGAGGTAAATCTTGCGAAATGGTTGAAGTGGCTAAAATGGATAATTGTATGAAATATTAATCAAAGAAACCAGTATGGTCTAAAATTAATGTTTGATCAAGAACTATCATTACATGCATTTTGCAGTATGGTCTAGTCCGGTGATAAGCATAACGACTTTTTTTTTCTTTTCGTTAAACAGAACTTGCCAAGATGTGGGATGAAGTATTTAGCAGGGGAACTGCAGAGAATGCTAAGATTCTTTCTGCGTTGCGGATGAAGTATGGCCTTAATCAATGAGGTTGGTTATAGGCCGTGTATACGTAATCGTATCACTTGCACATTGTGTGGTTGTGCATATAGAGGTCATGATGAAATTAACTCTGCGGATTTCGCAATTCGAATGTTTCTTTGTATTAATCTATGATGCTCTTTTTTTGACCTTTTTTTGGAGTGCAAATTGAAATCAGTGTATGTGGAGTGCTCCCTCTTCCCAAAAGCCAAGTCCCCAGCATTTCACAAAAGATTTTTTTTTTTGTTCAAAATGTCATATTTTAGAAGATGGTGCCAATGAATTTTCAAGAGCAATGCTAGGGGTACACCAAAGGTGTACCCCATTTGTCCCCCACCCCTTTTTCCACCACTCATTTTTACCACATTTTTATTTATTTAATTTTGTTTTAGTTTCTTGCCCATTTTTGCTGTAATGGATGGGGTGGGGGACAAATGGGGTACACCTTTGGTGTACCTCTAGCATTTTTCAATTTTCAAACTAAACTTTAACTTCAAGTTTGCTATGATTATCGTATGTTTTGGTTTATCACATTTGACTGAAGTTATTTTTAATCTAATTTATTTAAAAATTGAAGTGGAATAAAAAATACTCCGTAAAATTTACATACTCTCTCAGTCCATAATTTATTTATCACTTTTCTTATTTGTGTGTCCATAAATTAATTTTTCATTTTTTTTGACAATTATTTTTTCTTTAAACCACACTACCACCCTCACCTTTATTCATTATTACGTAGTATTATGTATATCTATACTTTATTCCACTCTGTTGCAATGACCCAAGAATAAATATGGAAAATCAATATAATTTTATACTCCGTAATTTTTTTAATTTTGCATGTAAAGTTAAAGCGGGAAGATAATTTTTGAATGAATTGAGTATTTAAAAATTACGGAATACATCAAGAGTTTTGCAAAATAAGAGACGATATGACAATATTATTTTATCAAATGAATAACAAAAATAGAAAAGGAAAGTCGTAGAAGTTTGATTTTGTGAATAATAAACAGTTAGCCTAATTTTGGATGGAAGGAGTAAAACAAAAAAAATCGAGAAATATAACTAGGATAAATAAAACTAAGCCTTTCTTGTATTTCTGTATTAATGTGAGGAAAGGAAATTGAACAAAGTGAAAATGACAATTAAATAATATTTGAGCCTGAACATACAATAAAGTAGGTGTATTTATTTCTTGAGATTGACACAACCATCCATTCTAAGCAACTTGTTCATCCCAAAATTATTTTTATAATGGCAACCCTACCTCTAAGCTAGATTTGGTTATTTCACTTTTCTTTTCAGTTCGAGAAAAAAATTCTTATTTTATCACTTTTGTAATAAAGTTAAGAATATAGTTCATAGTTTTTTTCTTTATATAAATAAATTTTAATCACTTATTTTTTACTTTTTACCCAGTAATATTTTTTTTAAAATTCTATAAAATTAAAGTGAGATAATAAATTTAAGACAGATGAAGTAATAAAAATTTACTTGCATGTCTATTGGGTTATTGTCTATTAAGGTTGGACGACTTTTTTGTTCAAGCAACATAGATGAATACTTGGAAAATATCCCACTATCATTGTAAACTTCCAACTTAATTATCAAGGAAAAAGCTGGAGTAACTTCCCTGGTAACTCCAATTTTTGACACCAAAGGTACACATAAGTAATACTCCATCTGTTCTAATTTATAGTATCTATTTTGATTTTGGTTTATGATGTTTACTGAAGTTATTTTTAATTTAAACTATTTAAAGATTAGAGTTAACTTTAAAAAATTACATACGGAGTATACAAAAAACATCATAAAAAATTCTATGAAACAAGAGTTGACATTAATATGTTATTTTATCAAATATGTAACAAAAATAGTTAAAGAAAGTATATAAATTTTAATTCTATGAATAATAAATATGCAATATAATTTAGAATGAAAGGAGTAATTATCTACAATTGTCTTTGATGTCAAAAGTGCTGTCACCAATGGGGGTCCCCTTTCATTGCCCTTTTTGTGTGTGTATGTGTGTGCGCATGTGTAAGATACTATACCAATTCAATTATATACAAAGTATATAGAAATAGTAATTTTACACCATTGAGGATATTATTATCATGAAGAAAGATCGGATCAATTGTCCTCTTCTAGATCGTGGACGGTACACTCAGAGTAAATTGTCACTTAAATCAAATGTATGAGACATAATGTGGATGTTAATATTCACAATATTATATACTCTCCCATAAATTTTATCTTTTTAAAATTATTTTATTTATAATTTGGTATATCATAAAAAGTACAAATTACTCCGTACAATATTTAAAATTACATCAAAGGCTCTACAAAATAAGTTGTCACCAGAATATTTTATCTTATCAAATGATTGGTGAAAATTTACTAACAAACATAAGTTATTGAGTGGGAGTATATTTCTATCACATTGCCACCATTATTTTGCGAAACTCCTTTATAATGGATGAAAATCATGACACTTCTATTTCAATATTTTAAAGATATCTTACATCTCTCAATGGATACTTCTCAATTAAAGCTTTATAAAAAAAGGGATATGCTAGGGGTACACCAAAGGTGTACCCCAAATGTACACCACCCCTCTTTTTACTATTCATTTTATTTTGTTTTTAATTTTTATTTTTTTTTTGAATTTTTATTGCTTTTTTTTGTGGTGATAGAAGGGGTGGGGATGTTTGGGGTACACTTTTGGTGTACCCCTAGCATTTTTCTAAAAAAAATAAGTGATGAATTTGTACGATTAATTTATCAAATTAATAGTGAACATTAAAGAAAAAAAGATTAAATTTAAATTAATGAATAGTAATAAATTAGAAGTTTTAGTTAGAGAGGACGCAAATAACCGTTGAAAAAAGCAGTGTTTGGAAAATATTTGGACTCCGTAGCTTTTAGGCTTGTCTAAATTAGAAATTGTGCATTCAGACGCCTTTCCTAATTCTATCTTGATCTCTTCCAAATGTCCAATTACTTTGTTAATTACCATGAATTCTACCAATCTGAGTTTTGTGTGAAAAGTTTACAAAGAATTCAAATTTGGGACAGAAAATGACAAGAGCAAAGCTACTTCTTCAATGCAACTGCCCTGCCCTGACAATCACGTGTTCTCCTCTCTTCGAATCCCTCAAAACCCTCTCTTTCTCTCTTTCTTTGCTCTCCTCACTCTTCTTCTTGTTTTCTCTCTTTCCCATTTTTTTTCCCCTGAAAAAAGGGCTCAAGAATTTGCCGGAGGAAGGACCCATTTCTGGGGGAGCTGTTTTGACTCCCCAGATCTGCCTCTCGAAGGTATGTATTTCATTGTGGGTGGGATTTATTTATTTATTCATTGATTTAATATTGTTTTTTTTTGCAGAATGAAATGTTATTTTCAGTTTTGCCTTGAATCTTGAATCTGGGTCTCTCTCATTGAGAAGTTTTGTTGCCAAAAATTAATGCATTTCTCACGTTTCATTACTTTATTCATACTTTCTTGATCTTTCTCTTAGACTTTACCCCTTTTCCCCTTTTCTCATAATGTGTTTGAGGGCATTCATTTGTTTCGAGTTAATCTTGTCAGATTAGCTGTTGTTCTTAGAACTCGAGGTTCCAGGAAACCATGTTTGTTTGAAAGTTTATGACATGTGAAAGTAACAACCTTTTTTTGGGACATAGGGGTAGCTGCTATGATGCCTTGTGGTGCAATGCCACACAACAATTAGTAGTACTAGTAGTAATTAGTAATTAAGGAGAATAACCACCATTTTGTGCTAAGGTAGAAAAGCAACACACACCAGGAATTTTATTAATGATATGTTCCCCCTTTCCCATTGTCTTTCTGATAATATGACATGACGCGACGACGTTGTGGACTATGGAAAACAACTAAAAATAATCATTATCGTGGGTTAATTATGCATGAACTGAGTGTTTTTTTTCCTACAATGGAACTACTAAAGTGAAGTCATGTTCTGGTAAGTGTGTGAAGGGTATATTATACAGTAACAAATGTCATGTAGGTGTGCAAATTTTGTTGGAACTGTATTCCAAAAATACTGTGCCCACTACCCAACCTTGTCAATGCACATTTTCTCAGAAAAATACTGGTAACCTATAATTCCAGATGTGGATATAGCTTCAAATCGAATTATGGAAATTCACCAAACTGTGAATTTTATATTCTCTTAACTAGAAAATCTTCATGATACATGGTTCAGTTTCTAGCTGTTTATGAAGTTATTATATAATCTAAGAATTGACTTTAATGTGTGTGTGTGTGTGTGTGTTCGACCTGCAAATTAGTTTGCAGTTTGAGTCTTAAGATTCTCTTTATGTACTTATCAGATCAAATTGGTACACATTTTTAAATTTATGCATTCGGCTCTTGAGTTACGGTTCTGGTTGTGCTCATAATTTATGTTTCTTTACTGAAATTTATAGGAAAATGGGTTTACTTTCACGCAAGTTAGCCCCTGCATGTGAGAGTATGTGCATATGCTGTCCTGCTTTGAGGTCCCGATCTCGGCAACCTGTTAAGCGATACAAGAAGTTGTTGGCTGACATTTTCCCCAAATCACCAGTGAGTATACAGTAGTTTTTTGAGCTACTTTCTAATTCCCTGCGAATGAACTGTTAAATTGTGGAGCCTAATGTAATATTTGATGTACTTCAAATATTCATGTTCACATGGTTCAACTATTTTACAGCGTGCATTCTCTGCAACTATTTATTGCCAAAATTTTAGGTTGTACGGTTGTACTTTTATTATTCCCCGTGTAACTATTTTATAGTGTATTCTATGTAATTGTACATACTCTGGAATCATCAATAGATAGCCGTACTCTGCCATTTTGTTTACCATTGGTGTTACCACACATATTTCTCTATGCATTTCTCTCTGTAAAGCTTCGTCTAGATTGAGGAGTGTGTGAGTTGTGCAATCCTAGCATGAATCTCCTAATCATTTGCAAAAGATTAATCAGAATATTCAATGTATTAAGGCAAGGGATACAGCAACATAGTAAATATTTTTTTATTTTTTTTTTGTTTATGATTCATATGGTTCATTTTGAATATCATAAGGTTATGAATTATGGCAATCATAGCAGAGATATTTGTGTCAAAAGGTGTATAATTATCTTAGGAGTATAAAGTATAGACAGAGGACCTCACTCCCTCTTCTGCATCACACTTTGTTGGGTGCTTCAACATTTCACTTGTACCCATGGCTGTTTATATTGCTGAGAGTATTTTTAATTTAATATATCTAACTGAATGCAGGATGGCTCTGCAAATGGAAGGAAAATCATGAAACTATGTGAATATGCAGCAAAAAACCCCTTCCGCATCCCAAAGGTATTAGCGTCACAGGAGTTGTGTCAGTTCAACTTTCTTTAGCTGTGGAAACTTTAAGTCGATGGTTAATTTTAAACATATACAATGCGTATCTCTTGCATTCATATTCTTAGTTTTAAAACAATTAACAGATTGCAAAGTGTCTTGAAGAAAGGTGCTACAAGGAGCTGCGTAGTGGACACACAGAATCAGTCAATGTTATTGCAGATGTTTACAATCAGTTGCTTTGCATGTGTAAAGAAAAAATGTAAGCTATAGATCTTTATCAACTTTCATTTTGTATTAAAATGTAAATGAAAAATCCAAGGCATGTACAACTCTTTATAAGGTCATGTCTTGCATTTGGAAACAAACCCAGTATAATCCCAACTTTGTTGAGACTTGAGAGCCTATATTGTACATCCGGATGTATCTAGAACTAGGTACGTCAAGTAAATGTTCATTTTGAATCAATGTAGTGTTTATTCTGAAGTAATGTGGTGTTCATTCCAAGCCTACTCAGCGTAGTGTGTTCATTTTGATATAACATAGTGTTCATTCTGAAACAACGTATTATTCATTTCGAAACATTTTTTAATTACAAGTTTTCCATGATGTACGATACATCCCGCTGTACCATATAATTTGCAAACTTTGTTGAGGTCTGGGGTCAAGATGTACACAAAATACAAAGAGGTATTTGCCTATAGACCCTTGATGCATTTACTTAGAGGCAAGGGAAGTTTAATGCGCCATTTTGATGATTTAGATTTCTTCTTATTCTGTTATCCACAAACACTCATTTGGAATCATACAATACAATCCCCATCCCTGTATTACTTGGTGAAAGCTTGAATGCTTGATGCTTAGACTTATTTGTGATTATGCAGGCACATCATTAAACCTTGCTTTCAATTACCTATGTCCCATAATTAACTTCACAGTTTGACTTCTGCAATTTTCTCTGTAATACTTTCACCATCAATATCTCTGATTATATATTAACAAAGGAAGAATTCATGCCAATACTTCCATAAATTTGAGATCTTATGAAAATACTCCATGTCTCCATGATCACATAATTATCTCTCCAGAATTTAAAATTTTTTACTATAAAACTCAATTGAAATTTTAATTTTACATGGATTTCCCATTTTTTCATGTGTATATCAATTTGTAATCCCGGAGTATCTGAGTAAAAATATTTAAATTCTTTGAGCACCCCGCTGATAATTTTTTAACCTAAGAGTGTTTGTGTAAAATCTCAAATTTATCGGAGCATTGGCATGAACTTTTTTCCCCTATATTTTTCCTATAAAACTCTATTGAAATTTTTATTTTACATGGATTTTCCATTTTTTCATGTGTATATCAATTTGTAATCCCTGAGTATCTGAGTAAAAATATTTAAATTTTTCGAGCACCCCGTTGATAATTTTGTAATCTAAGAGTATTTGTGTAAAATCTCAAATTTATTGGAGTATTGGCACGAACTTTTTTCATAAGCAAATTGCAACAACAACAACATCTCAGTTGGATCCCACAAAAATAGGGTCTGGGGAGGATGTGTTACATAGACCTTGCCCCTACTCTAAAGTAGAGAGGCTGTTTCCAAGTAAATTTGTTCATAAACAAATTGAATAACCCTAATGTTCCCTATATTCTAAACCTACATCTCCAATTCAATACAATGACGTTATAGCTAAATTATAACTCAATGTATTTTTTATGTTAATTATGGTTAAAGTTTATGAGCTTTGACTAGAAAAGTCAAACCGTAAAATTAGTTTTGAGATGGAGTGATATTCTTATATTGATATAGTAAAAAAGATACAAGTAGATACTCTGTTCCTCAAAAAAATGATTTTTAATCTCAATTTCAGGGCATGTTTTGCGAACAATCTGTTGAATAATGTTGTTGAAATGCTGGATTCTGCCAAGACAGATGCCATCAAGATCATCGGTTGCCTGACCTTTACTAAGTTTATCTACAGTCAGGTGATGTGTGTGCAATCTGTTCATCTTTGAATTGCTGGAATATTGTGTATTTAGACGGATGCATTCTAGTTAGAATTCATTTTGGGGGAATAAGTCTCTGTACCATAATGTCCAAAGCCTGACACAAACATACATTGGTTAAAATGGAATTGATGTGTGTCTTGGAGGAATGCGAGATACCTAAGAAAACTATTTACACGTTTTAGTTTACTGCAGAACAATGTGGTTCCTATTAAGGCACTAGTTTTATTTCATCTTTTTGTTTCCGTATAACGTATGAGGAAATGAATTGAAGTATGGCAACTTGGCAAGCCATCTTATGGTTAATTGGTTACCAACTTCAAAATAAAGTCTTATTGTCATATGCTCCGATTCATATTGGCTTGTTGACATAATTTTAGAAACCAAGGTGAGATGTTTTTGTGTCCATTTAATTTGATCACTTTGCAGCAGAGTGTCATTTGCCTAAAACAGTGGAAGTGATTGATGATATTCATCCGCTGAACATGGATATTGTGTTGAATGTTATTTCCCTGCTTCTTCTTTGATGATTCATCAGCTGTGCATGGATATATCATATATGTGTTGATGTTGTCCCCCNTCCAAAAAGTATGCGCATTAGCTCGGGAGACTGGTGAAGATCATCAAAAGCGCTGCTTGAGGGCATCCAGTTTGCGGTGCCTTTCAGCCATGGTTGTTGAATTCTACTTAAGAGTCTACATTCCATGATTTGCATGTTGGTTTTTGCAATAGCAATAATGTAATGGACAAGTCAAAAGAAAATAGCTCAATTCATTATTGTCTATGTTATTTTCCATGTGGAAATAATCTATGATGATGACAGTTTTTAAATTCACATTTCACTACTCTTTAAGAAGGCTGAGACATGAATGGCATAAAATTGGCATTTTTTTTGCAAGAATCTATTGTTAGGTGATTTTGTACAATTATTTAGCACTGACGAGGAAAACTGTTTAATGCTAATCTATTCTTCTTATTTGTTTCCAAGTTCAGCAACTAACTCTATGATTTATCCTTGCAGGTATGGTTCATGGCTGAGTTCTCTCATATTTTTACTGATTTTGATGAGGTAAGGACACTCTCTGTTAGTCTATGAACAAATATAAACAGTAGTAAGTTAATGGTGAAATAAAGTTATTTTTGTGGACAATAGTTCTTGATTGGCCATACAATATCTCAAGTTTGTCTCCTAATGGTTTATATTAATACATCTGGCCCCACCCTTTTATTAGTAAGTAGGTCATTGGCTCAGAATGTCTATCTCTATAAGCAATAAATTTAGCTATTTTGTGAAAAGTTTTTTATTTTATTTTGACACTCTTATGGACATCTTGCCTTGAAATTTGTATTTGGACTTTTGCAGATTGTACATGTTACTTTGGATAATTATGAGCCAGATGCCTATAATGAAGATGACGATAGAGGGGAAGCACATCATAATTGGGTGGATGAAGTTATTCGATCTGAAGGAAGAGATATTGGGAATGAAAATAGACCCAGCCATCTAGTTAGAAAGCGCCCTGTCAAAAGGGATCTTGCTCTATTGACGAGGTTGATATATGAATATAAAAGGAGATTAGCTTTTCCAGTGGTGTTTTGAAAATTCCGGTCACATAGCTAATGAGGCAAAGTGGCAAACTTTTTTTGTTTAAAAAAAGTTTACTCCGTATTTTGTAAGGTAACATTTATTTTCAGTACTTATTTTCTTCATAAAAATTGTCTACAGAGAAGAGATTGAAATGCCAAAAGTATGGGCACAAATATGTATTCAGAGGATGGCTGATCTAGCAAAAGAGAGTACAACAATGCGAAGAGTTTTAGATCCTATTTTTATCCACCTTGATAACAACAAACAATGGGTACCCTTGCATGGATTAGCATTTGTGGTTATGTCTGATATTTCATACTTTGTGGAAAACTCAGGTAATCTAACGATCCATAGTTCATGCAACGTTTCTAGATATATAGTTTTTAAAATCTGACAATTTTATTAAACACTTATTTTCTCTTGATCTCGCAAGAGAAACTATTTCTTACCATCTCACATTCTTTTGGTTTTTAGTACTAGACATTTGAACAAAATCAAGAATAATCCCTGTGTGCTATATATTATTTATTGTGGGGCTGTTGACATATTTCTATTTTTTGTGTGCTCTAGTCATCCTCTCATCAGTATTCTAAATAGGTTATGATACCATGTGAAAGAACAGATGACAGTTCACTAATGCCTGTTTTAGATCATGTACATAGCTAGCAGTCTACCAATGCTTGTTTAGATTCTTTGCAAGACCATATATTTGTATACACAGATGAAAATGTCAGACCAAGGCCACCCAACCGGCCTAGGGTCAGTCTTAAAACTCAGCAGTATTTTTTTTCTAACGTGCAAATGTGTATCCATTATGAGTCTGAAGTTTCTATTTGAACCCAATCATTAGCTTATTTCTATCGAAAGGCATTGCAAGAACGGCTATTCATTTAGCATTAGATTTTTGGCTGTTAATTGCATTAGCAAACACCAAGTCTGTCTCAAGCAATGATATCTTTGATACATGTATGTGTACAGATCATGCTATGAAATATGAATTTTGATGTGTGGTTTGAGCTTTGATGATGAAAGGAGTTTAAAATGCTTCTTGTCTGACCTCAGGGAATCACCAGTTGGTTCTAACAGGCGTGATCCGACATTTAGACCACAAAAATGTAGCACACGACTCTCAGCTCAAGTCATTTGTCATCCAAACTGCCACTGCATTAGTTCGTCAAATGCGAGCAGGGGGTACATGTTTAGATATCGGGTTTGTCACTGACTTGTGCCGGCACTTGCGTAAAAGTCTTCTAGCAACTGTGGATCTGGACGGGGAGGAGTTGAACTTAAATCTTACACTTCAGACCTCCATTCAAGAATGCTTACTTGAAACTGCCAAAGGGGTAACTGCCATAATTTAAATAGAGTCTTTTCACTTCGGATTTTATTGTAATATCTTTTTTGTTTGTTATAGATTTTAGATCTGCGGCCCCTGTTAGATATGATGGCGATGACATTGGAGACGCTTCCATCCCATAAAATAGTTGCCAGAGCAACAATGGGGTCATTAATCATCCTTGCACATACGATCTCAATAGCATCATTGTCCTCTAATTTTCAGCAGGTATGAAGCTTTTGGATTTTGGTTTAGACCTTTCAACCACTGGGGTTTTGAAACATCCTAAAAATCCCTCCCATCCCCAATTAATCCCCTTACAGGCACTATGATGTCCTTAACCACCTACCTTCTTAGTTTCACTTAGTTCTTGCCTAACCTTGACTAAGCACTACTTAACGATCTGCAGTCTTGACGCTTAGCTCTTTTTTACACTTTGTTTTGTTAGTATGAAGTACGTCTACCCCTACCCATACATATGGGTATGCAAAATCACATTTTCTAAAAATATGAGAAATGAGAATGGGGCCACGATACACATAACTATGAAGCGCATGCGCTTCAAAAGAAGTGATGTATGCATGTCGGATATTTGGGAACACGAGAGGAGCATCTCTATAACGTGTCACCTTTTTTAAAGAAAAGCATATGGGGACACCTCGGTACATAATTGAGGGTCTGAAAGTGACCAGTTTGAATAACTCCAGCTTTGGACTAAACTGTTAAAATAAACCTTATGAAAGCGCTTATTTCATTTGACCTTTGCCCTATATTGTAATTCATTCTGGTTAAGAGTCTCCTCACTTTTCCTCTTAGAAGGATAAACCCTAGTTGTTTTGCAGTCTCTTTCCCTTCTCTATTCTCTAGTTTCATGGATTCCTCCTCCCCTCTTTGGAGTCATGCGAAACTACTTGAGAAGCTCAAAGCTAGGGGCAACATGATAAGAATATCGTATCGGGCAAGGAAGAACTTCGAGCGTCTTCAAGCTCCAAAGAAAAATTGGGGAAGGAGGAGAAGAATTCGAGGGAGAAGAAAGACAAAAGTAGGGTTTAGATAGAATGATTTGTTTATTGATTTCTTGTATCTCAACTAATGTGTTGAATCTCAATATATAGGGAATAGAAGAAAACCCTAATTCTAATAGTATAACTTCTAACCCTACCACTACCACTACGACTACGACGACCACCAGTCCACCACCACTACTAATCGTAGATTACTATTATCTAATTACACTACGGTTTTTTGACACCGGATTTCTGAGTCTGTCACCATAGGCAAAAAGAAGAGAATGTTAACTGAAAACCATACACCCCTTCAATTAAACCAAATTCAGTCAAGCGCCTGTGACGATGTTATTTGCCAAAACACCAATAATATGCACCTCAGATAAATCCTTTTCATTTGAACCCTTACTTTGCCTTCTAGCTTACATCGGATTATATGTATACGGTATACCACGCATAGACATTATAGCTCCTACTGATCCTTCCTTCCTTCCGGAGTACTTGATAAACCAATACATGTTTTTGTTGACATATGTCATTACTGTTTTTATTTGACTTTTTTCCCTTAATATATAGGTGTTCCCTGAGGAGCTTTTTATTCAGCTTTTAAGAGTGATGCTTCATCCCAATGTTGAAATACGTATTGATGGGCACCATATCTTTTCTGCTTTACTTGTAACATCCTCTAGCTATATGAGACATGATGCCCCAAGTCATACAAGGAGATGCAATTCAAGTGGGACTTCTACATTCTTCTCAATTACTGCTCTACTAGACAAGCTATGCAGAGAAAAAGATGCCTCTAAATTAAGGGATGACTCTAGCATTCAAGCTGGTTTTAAAGAGAGTAACAGTGTTGAAGAAGATCGGAAGCAGGAGTGGGCACACCGAACATCTCCTAGTATTCAAAAAATAAATTCTATCCTTGACCGTACAGTTGCATCGGCTAGCTTAACTGAGACAGTAAGGATGGTTATACTGCCACCATTGGTCCCTATATTCATTTGTGTGAACTAAAAGTATCAACTCCTATGTTTTGTACGAAGATATTTATGTGGCTTGTTGGCATTCATTGGCACAGGAACAATCAACTTTGAAGCTTAATGATGATCAAATTACCCAGTTGCTATCTGCCTTCTGGATACAAGCTAATATGCCAGATAATCTGCCTGTTAATGTTGTAGCATTTACTCAATCTTTCTGCCTCACTGTCATTTCCTTGCGGCTTAGGGTAAGGGTTGACGCACTCAATTTTCATACAAGGCTCAATAATTGTTTTCTTTGAAAGAAGTTTCTTTTTTTTGATGATTCATCTTTGAATGGAATGAGAATTGTGTGGTGGAATATCCTGGTTAAAGGAGATTGGACAAAAACAATGAAATTTTCAAATCCCTTGATAACCAATCCACATAATTAACACCTACTGTGGACAATATGTTATGGTATGCGCTTTTCCTCTATTCCATTAAGCATCAACTCTTGTGATTTGTCCATAGTTGTTGCAGCTCAGCGAAAGTCAGCTCGTGGTTCGCTTTTTCCAGTTTCCCATATCTCTTGTGAAAATTGCCTTAGATCCTAACGGTATACTATAGTATGCTTTTACCATTGAACCCTTATTGCAATGTAGTCTATGAGGATGTGCAATGAACATGGTTTTCTTTTGCAGGAACCTTGCCTCCAGCATACCTTAGATCACTTCTATTATCATCAACTGCAATGTTGGCAATTGTGGCTAAAACATATCAAGTATCTGACTTGAGTAGTTTAGTTAAACCATTGAGGGACTGTGATGTAAGTTTCAACTTCATTTGATACCTCTTCTTAATACCATCAATGCATGTTAGATCTAACACTAATATTTCATACATTTGTGGGGTTTTGCACATGATACCACCATTAGGCTGACCCCTTTTTGGGTATTGGTGATGACTATCAATTACACATGAGGCCTTGCACAGACTTTATAGAATATGGTTCCACTGCTGATAATCAAGCAGCAGCTGCGTACCTCTCTGAAGTACGATCCAAAACCATTTCATCACTTGACATTATACAGAGTACTCTAGCTGAAAGATTGTCTAGAATTACTGAGGTGCGTTATAATTAATAAGATCCATCTCCTCCCATATTAAGGGGTTAGTAACTAATAAGTTTTTGTTTTGTTTTATTTTGTTTTTAATTTTCTATGTGTCAAAGTATGAGGCAGATGATCTAGTGAAGCAGATATCAGAAGGTTTTACTCCTGATGATTCTTTCCTGTTTGGACTACAATCGATGGTTGACGTGGATCACAGACAGGTTCTCGCACATTCCGGGGATTCTCCTTCATTTGATGACAGGGTATAATGTTTTTTTTGAATGATCTTAGTTTATTACAACAATGATCAATTTCACAAGTAAATGAAGTGAATATCAAGTGTTTTAGTGAGGTGTTGTTCTTGACTTCTTGCTGCAGGATTTCCCAACAAACTCACCTGAGGAAGATGATAAAATTAGTGAATCGTCGGTTGATGTTACCCGTTTCATGCCAACATCTCCATCGCCTTTCTCTTCTCGTATTGTCAATATTGGGCAACTTTTGGAATCAGTTAGTTCTCTTTCTTCCCTCAGTTTCTCTGGGCATTTGTTTTTTTAATCTTTGCAGCTTACAATCATCATCTTTGTTTCCTGCCACGCCCGTACCACAAGTTTCCTCATAACTCATAGATTTGGCAGAAAAGTGCATTTATGCATTTAGGCCATGTTCTTTTCAACTTTATTTCCAGACTTTAGAAGTCTATTACCATGCACTTTATAATTCTGTATTTTTTTTATTTTTCTTTTACAGGCACTTGAGGTAGCTGGTCAAGTTGCTGGCACATTTGTCTCCACTTCACCTCTCCCGTATGGTGCCATGGCTAGTCAGTGTGAAAGTCTAGGCATAGACACAAGGAAGAAGCTCTCTAATTGGTTGGCTCATGAAAACCATTATACTAAAACTTCAGATATATTTCTTCCAGCCGTTCCTAGAAATGGACTATTAACTGCTGAAAAGGTAAGCTCACCCTTCAACTAAAAACTGAAGATTCACTATTCTATATGTACTCCAGAGTTTGCCATTTTGTCGTTTTTAGTCCCACTTCTGAGACTTCTACGTTCAATCCAAACTTCAATCACACACGAGTTTATTAGAACATAAAAACCTTAGGGGGCATATTAGAAAATAAAAATTTTTCTTGGGCCCTACAACCATAAGCTTAAGCTTTTGGTTGAGCTGGTTTCTTGACATGGAATCAGAGCCTTGTTGACTAAAGAGGTTACAAGTTCAAAACTCACCGCCACCCAATTTTAAAAAAATTTAAAGTTTCACGTGCAAGGCTTGGAGTGGCCACACTTGCACGTGAGGGCGCGTGTTAGAATATAAAAGCTTTTTCTGGGCCTACAACCACTAGCTTGAGCTTTTGGTTTAGTTGGTTCCTTTGCAGGGTGGAATGGAATTTGGTGATGTGTCCAAAGTACCATTACTTTAGGGAAGTGGATAAATGAGTTGGGGTTCTTCATTTCTTATACGCAAAATGAAAAGTGCCCAAATACACAGGGATGCCCCAAAAAGGAATATGAGATAAGTACACTGGGACAAAGGGAGTAATACCTATCATTTGGCTTTTGAACACATTCTATTGCAGGTAATCAATGAAGACACGGCTATTGATGATCTCGTGGGGGCAAAGGAGCCGGGGTTAGCTCTTATTAGGTTACCTCCAGCCAGTCCATTTGACAACTTCCTCAAAGCAGCTCGAGGTTAGGGGGTTTCTTGGCCATGGATGGTTTCTCATTGTCTGTAAAGAGTAGATGAGGAGTTCAAAGCATAGCAGGCACATTTGCTCTATGAATTCTTTGTTGCATCTTAGTGTATATTGGCTTAGGCTTAATTATTTGTGAACATCATTGTTGTAAACCTAGTACTATGCAGCTATTGTAAACACATCTGGTGTAGTGGCTTTGGACTTGCCAAGTAGGGAGTAATTATGGTTATTATGGGATGTAAGACATGGTTGTCCCTAGTGCAAGTGTTTGACATTGCAGCTCTTATCCTTAATCCCCCAACCCTGGACGGGCCCGGGTAGCGTGGAAGGAGGTGATTTGAAACTTTTATCTTAAACTGGTCAACAGAGAGTGAGATTTGTCCCTGGTATATGCAAAGGATCCCATGCACTCTCTATTGACTAACCAAGCAATGCCGTAGTTTTTTCTAACCATAAGGTCCTGTTTGGGACACAGAATTCAAATTATGGAATTGGAATTGAGATTTTCAATTCCAAATCTGGAGTTTGGTAGCACAAAAATCATGTGGATTTAGAATTGATAGTACAAAAAATGAATTGGAATCGGTGAATTCAATTCTATGGAATTGAATCCCATGGAATTTCAATTTCAATTCTATCAATTCTGTATACCACACGAACCCTAAGGCCCCGTTTGGTGCACGGAATTCAAACTATGAAATTGGAATTGAAGACTTCAATTCCAATTCTGGTGTTTAGTAGCATAAAAAATATGTGGATTTGAAATTGATTGTGCAAAAAATGAATTGGAATTGGTGAATTCAATTCTATGGAATTGAATCCAATGGAATTTCAATTCCAATTCAATTCTAATTCCATCAATTTCGTATACCAAACCGACCCTAAAGACTTTGTCCATGAATTGAATTCACACTTAAGCTTCTATTCCAAAATAGAATTTATATTTCTTACTTTTTTTTCAAGAATAGAATATGTGGCTCTTGACTCTTACAAATCAACCTACACAATATCTTTCTCAAGTAACTTTTTCATTCTTTTCTTAAGAATTCATTTGCTTTGGGGGTTGTGGTGCAAATTGTTGCTTATATCTTTTGTAATTGGTTGAGAGGATAAAATTTTCTGATTAAAAATTTATACCCTAATTGTTTGCAAATAATACTTTGAATCAAGTGTGTGGCTCCATATTTTGCCCGTGTAGGTTCTCTACAATAGAATGGTCGTGTAAAACATAAGAATGACAAATCACATACGGAGTATTATATTTTGTCCCTTGCTATATTTGGTTTTAGATTTCTCTTTCGATCGAAATTTGAGTTAAGTGTGAATGTGGTTACAATCATTTTTCATAATAATTAAACCTAATTTATCGTTCAATTCTAAGCGATCAAAATAAGAAATTTTTCTAATTAAGCCTAATCTATTATTCAATTCTAAGCGATCGAAATAAGAAATTTTTGCTAATTATAGTCTGGGCAAAAATAGTTATCCGGTCCTCACAAAAAGGGAAAGTAGTACACCTATCACGTGTGTCCCCATACTCTGACCCAACAAAGTAGTGAGGAGGTAAACCACGAGAGTCTACTCTTCAGAGAAGCCGTCCCGTGTTTGGTGCGCACAAAGAGCCACCATATTGTCTCACATTAATTACTACCTCCGTCCCAGAGTATTTGTCCACTTTCATTTTTACACACCATCTAATACACTTTTTTAATCCATTTTATCTTGTACTCCGTAATTTGTATATTAAAAAATTATAGAAATTATATATTAATAATCTATATGTTAAGACAAATCAAACAAGATCACACATGACTATATTTAGGCTTACACATTGAGAGAATTTGATGAGTCAAAGTGCTTAGATGAACAGTTTCAAAAGTCAAAACTGGACGAATACTCCGGGACGGAGGAGTATTTTTTTGTGAACATTTTTTTTCTCTCTCGTGTAGTGTTGTCCGCTGCCTTCAATGTTTGGGAGCTTTCCCTTTGCACGTATGATATGCATTATTAAATGCCTCCAAACGGCAGTTTCCTAATTTAGGTGTTGCAAATAGTGTCCTCACAACATGGTTTCATGTTTTTGTCTTTGCTTGTGTGGTCATTATTATATTGTGGCCTGCTCTCCTCAGTCTTTTCACAAGTCTTTTGGTTGGTGGCAATAAACATTTGCCTAATGTTTGGCTTAGGCTAAGGTTTGTTACTTTTGTTGTTTGGTACCACAATGAGTGGAGTACTCCTAGGAGGACCAATGGCCAATAGATGATGACACCTTTGTGACATACCATTTCAACCTTCCACAAGTGAAGCTTTATAGGATAGATTATACGGTACGGTACAGTTTCGTTGACACTGCACGTTAAAGTTAATGTGGATGACATTTGGCATCTACAGTGCTATGTTCATAAAATTGATAGTTCCTATCTTACATAACCCTTGGTAAACGTCACAGCGAGACCCGACCCGGACCGAACGCATCCCCCACCCTAGCCAATTGCACCCAACATGTTTTGTTGACTTTGGGGTCAAAAATTTTGACCATAAGATCAACTAAACTTGCAAGGTGCGATTGATGGGGGTGGAGGAATGGGTTCAGGTCAAAATTGGATGGGGATTTATTGGGGGATTAGGTGGGATACGAACCATCAATTTTTCGAATGGATCCCTGTACGTATTCTAAATGGGCGAGTATCATCTGTTGACACTCGGTGTCGGTGTCAATCTAATTATCCCGTAATGTATTAGTATTGATTATGCTCAATTGTGTAACAAATTTGCAAAAGGTACCACTTGTGTAAATCTTAAGTGTGGAGATATCCCTCATTAGACCACTCTTGCTTGTCCAAACAATCATGTCTATTATTCCACATTAAGTACCACTTGTGTAATAACATACGTAGTATTTCATTTTTGAGTATATTGAGAAATGAATAAATATAGATATAAAGTATGTCTATGACTCTATGTCCATTACCGGTTGCGAGTTTTGACCGACTTTATTTTCAATTCAATTTATTTGATTATATGGGTAAACTTTAAATAGAAATTCATATATTAGAAAATTATATGAAAAAATTTTACAAGTTAGAAGTGACAAGACTATGATTGAATTTAGGTTGTGGTAAGATTAACTGGATTGAGCAATAATACATTTGTGCTGAACCACATTAAAAGATTGAATCCAATCGATTAGTTAGTTCAATTCAAAAGCTTATATACTGATAATTTATTCTTAGATTTCCAATGTGGGAAGACACTCTAAGAGACTATATTATTTTAAGAAATGAGTGGTAAAGATAAGCTGACAAACTGAGTTATGTTTGACCATTATTGTCTGTAAAGATTTATGACGGACGGTGAGAGTAATTACTATGAAATGGTGGGAGTACATTAGTAATTGTCACCGTAGCTATTAATTAATTACATGCTTTCGTCGAAACATACCCAAAAGTTATGTTGAAACAATTTGGGACACCAAAAATAAATTTCAAAGTTTCAATACCTAATAGGGAATCTCGATAAGGATTTTTGCTCCAATTTGATACTCTAATGTGTCTAGGAAGGGGTGGCATGACGACTCTGGACTTTGGAGGGTGTCCTACCACGAGACCATTATTTGAGCAACTTTTGTCATTTAAGGCCAAGTACACATGACTTTACTGTCTATCTAAAGTGTCTCTACAGTCTACACACCCTCCCTGTCACAATGTGCCATAATTTTACAAAAAAAAAAGTGATAAAAGTAGTTTATATTAATAATTAATTAATGAAAATATATTTAAAAATATGATACTATAATATGACTGTGTAAATAGTAATACTTCTATCTACTTTTTATGAAGAAATATAAACAAGATTAAAATATTGTCCATCTAAAATTTTTTTTCCTATTTTGATTGTTTTGGTCACTTTGATCACAAGTAATAAAAAGTATATTTAGTTATAATGGTAATTTAATACTCCCTCCGTCCCTAAATAAAGTTTCATTTTTGACTTTTTGAGGATTTAAGAGAGGGATATTTTTGTGTTGTAGCACTTTCAAATTGATTATTTTGGATGTTCAATCCAAAAATCAATCGGAAAAACTCAAATTTCTGACAAGAACTGGTGTGAACCAATATGAATTTTCGAACTGTCTCTCTTTCGACCAAAGCTTTGCCGGGATTTATAGAAGCAGTGAACTGGTATGAACTAATAATCTAATATGAATATTCTAACACGCCCCCTCACGTGCAAGTGTAGTTTTTTCGAGCCTTGCACGTGAAGCTTTAATTTTTTTAAAAACATGGTGGCACTAAGTTTCGAACTCATGATTTCTTAATCAACAAACCTCTGATATCATGTCAAATAGGATTAATCGGGAACTGGTGTTTCATTAAACAATGAGGGGGTAAATATACATGTACTATTGGGCCTATTCATCTAAGTCTACAAATACAAATACATGGGCTGACATAAATACATAAGCTAACAATTCCAATAACATTGGTCAAATAATTTTTCCAATTAGACTAAAATATATAACAATAAATAGTGACAAAATTATTTTATTTTATCAAATGATAAAAAATATGCAACCAAACTAAAATGATCGAGAGATAGGAATAGTAACTCTTACGATAATTCCATAACAGAGAGAATCCTTTATATATAAAAAGGAGACTTCATTCTTTAAGAAGTTGACATTTGGCATATTCAAAGTTTGACATGTGGCGCATTAGGAACTTGGCATGTGGCATATTAGGTAGCAATTTAACCAAATTTACTCTCTTTCATTATTTCACATTTTTTTACTCTTTTTTCAAAAATGATATGGAGTAATTACTTATTTTGAACCCATGAATTCAAAATTAGAATTAAAATTATTTTCCGTGTAAAATATTACTTTTAATAAAATATCAATTTTTAAGGACTCTACGTACAGATATTTTTAAAACCTGTCTCGGATTCGTTAAATCATAAAATTTACAAAATATTTTTAGAATAATTAATAAAATACACTCCCCACCCATAAATAAATTTTATATTTATTCATTATACATTACATGATATTCCTTTGATTGTATTTATTTAAATATTGACACCTATTAAATAAAATATTTCTTTTACCTATAAATGAATTTTATATTTTATGACACTTAATGTGTCACTTAATTTAGTGTATAGAAAATGCGAATTCAATGTTTTGGACTAAAATCTTTGAATAAATTTAATTGTTAAAGAGAAACATTCATTTTTATGAAAATACTTTTTCCAATACAATACAACATTTTTTACTCGCTTGATTTATAAAAACAATTTGATTAACAAACAAAACATTCTCTTCATAAATAAATAATATACGAAGTATTATGAATTTGTTTATGATACCTTCAAATGAAGTTATTTGATTATATTTATTTAAATATTGACACCTACTAAATAAATACTTTCTTCGCCTATTATGAAATTTCTTATTTTTTAACACATAATATACCACCTAAATTGATATATAGAAAACATAAAATCAACATTTTCGTAAAATGTGATCCTAAGGTCCACATGTGAAATGTGAACCTTTTTACACTTTTCATGGTTTAGCAAGTAAATATTTTTAAAAAAAAGATCCAATTCTTTTATGCTATTATTACGCCAAGGTCTATAAAATAATCATGGACCGTAGGACTGCATAAAAATTTTCCTTATAATAAAACTTTCAATCCCCCACACCAAAAAAAATTTCAATTTATAAATAAGATACATTTTATACCTCTAAATCAATGTCATGCGGGTATTTGTTTATGATATGTTATAACTAAGTTACTTTTGATTCTATTTATTGCAATATTGATGTAAAATCAAAACATATAAAATATTTTAAAAATAACACTAAATTATTTATAAAACAAGCGATGACTAGACTATAATTGTGTTAAAATAAAAAAATACTATATGTAATTTCATAGTTCCAAAATATTGATTGTTAGGGTTTGATTTTAGTACTATACAATTTAAATTCAAAAATATATTATTTCTCATGATATATTATGATATGATATTCTTAATTAAATCATATAATACAATTTTTCAACATTACTGAGTAAATATAATTAAGGAATAGATAAAATTGATTTTATTAGAAAAAACAAGTATTTTTCCAATTTTTTATTTTTTTCATTTCATTTATAATTAAACTATCAATGAATAAATTAGATTCCCTTCTTTAAAAAAAGATACTTTCTTAATCTCTAATGCAAAGAGTTAATCACACTAACTCTGATGCAAACGGCTAAACTTTAACGTTGTTCCCATAAATAAATTCATATTTATTTATGACATGTTTAAATAAAGTTAGTTTGTATTTTATTTATTTTTCAATATTAATGCAAAATAAAATATAAAAAACATTTTAATCTCAAATTAATACTAGACTAGACTATTGTTTTAAATGATCAAATTAATACTACACCCAACTTATAGAAATTTTTTGTTTTGACTTTTTTGGTCAAACAGTGACATTCTCTGACCACAAAATAAACTTAATTTGAATAAATAAATATTATAAAAAATTTATATATCAAAACTATATCCTAAGATGAACCCAAGTATATTGAATACACTCAAGATTCTTAATCCTTCTAGAGAAGACAATTTCTAATAGTCTTATACTTTGGAATGACTATCAATAAAAGTCAAGATTGAACATTGTCATTTGTTGGATTATTTTTAACAAATTCGTTCTTCATTGATGGTTAGCTCTATTTTGTTGTTTCAAGAGTCAAGACAAAGACATGATTAAAAATATTGGTTCAAATGACAATTGAAACCATTCCAACCATACCCAAATTATTGCATACCCTAACATTTATCAGGAGATTTCGTATTAAAAAACTTTGTTGAGTACTCATTCAATTTCTCAAATATTATTTATTCTAGTTTGACATTTTTGTCTATAGTATGAAAAATCATGTCAGAATTATATATTCTTCTTTTGAAAAAATATTACATTGAAAAACTTTCAAAATTGACAAAAATTTCATTCAACCCCGTGCGTCGCACGGGTTAGAATACTAGTATTAAATGTTTATGACATTTTTTTTCCACCCACACATCCATGAGGATTGATAGTGGTTCCCCACTTGTCCCCATCATAAGTCGAACCTCGTTACCAATTAGTCTTACGGTAATGGTCTAAAAACCATTCCTATTTTGACTTTGGGCCAAAATAAAAAAAGGGTAATTTTGGTTGATTTTCTAATTTTGCTTCTGATGTGATGAGTAAAAGTGAAATTTGCTAGTTTGTTTATTAGTGAAAAAGTATGATATGAAAAAGCAAGGGTAAAAGTAATTTTTTTAATAGAAAGTGGAAATGTTTTAGGGAATTCTTTATAAAGAGACTCCAATTTACAAGAATTTGACATTTGGCAACACTAAGATGTGACATGTGGCATAGATGATGTGTCAAATTTTTAGACAAAAAATTGTGAGGGGCTGAGAGAATTAAACAACGGCTTTCCTATTAACTTTTTAACTTAAACAAATTAGGAAGAAATCAGCGGAGCTTTCGCTCGGAGACCGCAAGTTTCCTTCCCCATTTTCTTTCCTTCCCCGTCGTTCCTTTCAATCGAAAATACCGAAATTGAGATTAAAAATACCAAAATTAGCCGAAATCCATAGCTATTCAGTTGATTCTCTCTTTTGATTAAGATCCAAAATGTCAAAATTGAGATCCAAATTTGAGATGCGAAGTCTCTTCTTCACCAAATAAAATAAATTAAAGGAAATCATTCCCCGTAAGTGGTCTCTGAGTTTGTCCGTGCGGCATAGGATCTTGTGGCGCAAGGGTATGTGCATGTTGGGTTGGATACTTACAAATTCATTTATGGCTTTTGGGGTATGCAGATTAGGTGAGTGGAATTTCCTAATTGTTGTTTTCATTGCAATGATTGAGTTTTTCTCTTAACAGATGTGGATTCAGTCTCCTTACAATTCAATTACATTTAATTGAATAGATTTAATTGGAATATAAGGGAGCATGAAAAAACAAAATGATGCTCCAATTTTATACCAACTCATTTGCTAGATTGGAGTTCTTGATTATGGGTGTTAAAAAAATTGAATGCATCAGTATTGTCGATGACTACATCTTGATAGGTTTTATAAATGTGAAGTATATATTTGCAATGGTTTATGGTGGTTTTTTATTGTTTAATTATCTGTCTTATTTTAAAAGATCATTATGGGACAAATGTGCACTGTGCAGCAAGGAATTGAGAATGTTAATAGTCAAACAGTAAAATGGTTCATGCTACACTTTCATTATTTGAGCTTTGGTCTTGGGGGTTTTGGATGTTTTTTTTTAATTTTTCAAGCATAATGTCTTTTTTTGTTTCATTTTCTTCACTGAAAAATGCATGAGAACTGTGTTTAGTCTTGGTGAATTAGACTCAAGTAGTGATTCATATAATCGATTGACATCTCCGTATTCTTATATTGTAATTTGTTTTACTCTTTTGGTCACACCTTATTTATCTATGTGTCTAGACTGTCCACACCTTGAAAATGTTTCTAATGAAGTATTAAACTAAATATAGAGTTAATTTTTTTACTTTTTTTAGCAAGATAATGACCCCCCTATTTTTTATTTGATTGAAATTTTAACCATATCTCTAATGTTTTTTTATATTGTGCGTATTGTTGGCTTATAAAAAAAAAATGCAATATATGTTTTATTGAAATAAATGAAAAAACAAGAAAAAATAGGTTGTACTCTTTTAATATGAAAGATCAGATCTTTAGTTTTTTTTAATTATACATAAAGTGTGCTTACGTGTTTATCGTTTGCTCCTGAAATGAATTCGGTGATAACTGTTGTAGTCCTTTGTTGTGATATAACGGGGGAAATTTTGTATTGCAGTGTGAAGGGGTTAATTTTATTNCCAACCTCAACTCAACATCAGAAAGTGTAAAGGTAACAGCTCATTATTATTCTTCTTAATTAAATTCTATTTTTAAATTATAATTTTTGTTTCTCTTTGTTGTTGATTATCTAGAGATAGTAATAACATTATCTAACATTAAGCATTATTCAGAGGGGCAGGCCGATACTGGACGAATCCAGACAATTGGAGCAGTGATGCCGCACCATCCTGTCATGTTTGAAATTCAACTCTCTTCTCTGTACAGGTTATTGGCTGAATTTTTAAGTTTCAATTTCTCATCTTTCCAAACAAGTCACCAAGATCGAAATTTCCATTTTATCCAATAATGAATGGAGATTGCTTTGTCAATTTTTTACTAATGGAAACACAATCATGATTCATTGGGATAAAAGTATGTTGGTTTTGAAGTTGCGGACTACTACAACAACAATTGTTTGATTGATGTTGCAGACTTAATGTGAAAAGTTGTACGGAGTAATAGTCAAGAGATAGAAAATTATATGGAGTATTAATGCTTTCTCCAAGTTATCCTCTTATATAACTTTAGACAATTATACATTTGCATCCTATTGTGAATATTTCATGTGCCATTTGTTCTGTTCATAGCATTGCTGTAATCTTTAAGTTGGCCAGACATGATTGAATATACACTTATTTAAATTTATCAAGTTAATAAAGTAGTTGAAGAAAATATTGAACGTCTTTCAATGTTTGAGGCTTGGATGGTAACCAATACACAGTACAGTGAGGGGCATAATTTAACTTATGCGGAGTTCCCAGGACACTTTGTGTATGACAAAAAAAACAACGATGGTTTCCGAGAAAGCAAAGACCATCGTTAGGCCGACTCCATTATGTTCCAACAGGAACCGGCGAGTTATATTACTTGAGATTGCTCTTGACTGTCCAACGAGGATGCACCAGTTATCAAAGTTTGAGGACAGTAAACAATGTTGTACACAACTCATTTGAGTCTGCGTGTGAAGCGTTGGGATTATTAATCGATGATAAAGAATTCATTGAAGGTATAAAAGAGGCTGTCGAGCTTGGTTCTGGAAATCAGTTGAGAAAGTTGTTCGTCACATTGTTGGTGACGAATGCCATGAGTCGTCCGTGTGTTGTGTGGGAGAAAACATGGGAACTATTGGCTGATGGGATTTTATATGATCGAAGAAGATTATTGCGCAATCTAGGTAATTAATTTGTTAGGTTAACTCATTGTTATTATTAGTTAGACCTATAATTGAAGTATGTGATAGTGAAAATGTGAATTTTTGAAAAAAACCATTTGATAAAACAAAATATTGTTGTAGGTATTAGTAAACATGGACTTCATCTACTGTAACATGATCGTTATGGCAAAAACACCATCAAAACTAACCACATTTTTTAAATGATAAAAAATCCTAAATTTAATTAAAGTTGTCTTTTTTGTAGGCGATTTGTGAATTACTCTACTACATGATTGTCTATTTAGGAATTTATCTTATAAAAGAGTTGCATTGCTCTAATTTTTTAAGCAAAAGTCATGGAGTATTAGGAAAATTTTATTATTCTGTTTTACAATGTATTCTTATAATGTGCTACATTATTATCTTTTTTTGTTTAGTTAATATGTGTAGTTTTAAATATTTTGATTCAAAAAAATTATTTAGAAATATTTTAATGAACATTTGTTTTGCAGAACTTACCATCTTGCTTGATAATCTCCAAAATTTATACTTGATTGAGATTGAGAAATTACTTAATTCAAACGGACGATCTTTAAAGGAGTTCAGTGGCATGCCATTTCCAGTTAACAACCCACTTAATCGATTCCAGAATAATTTCTTAGTTGAAGAGCTAAACTATGATAGAGAAAAGTTGTCAATTGATCTCAAGAAATATTTATCAACGATGAATGATGATCAAAGGAAAATATACGATGAGATAATGCAAGTTGTCACAGATGGTAAAGGAGGTTTCTATTTTGTGTATGGTTATGGAGGAACTGGAAAAACATTCCTTTGGAAATCATTGTCTGCAGCACTTAGATCGAAAGGCAAGATTGTTTTAAATGTTGCATCCAGTGGAATTGCAGCATTGTTATTACCTGGTGGTAGGACAGCACATTCAAGATTCTCGATCCCTTTGGCACTAACTGAATGTTTAACGTGCGCAATCAAACAAGGAAGCCCTAAAGCAGAATTAATCCAACAAGCGAGTCTAATAATATGGGATGAAGCATGTATGATGAATAAATTTAATTTGCTTTTGAGGCATTAGATCGCACGTTGAGAGATATTATGCGGTTTTCTAATAAAAACGCTGCAAATGAACCATTTGGGGGAAAAACAGTTGTGCTTGGGGGTGACTTTCGTCAAATCCTATCAGTTTTGCCAAGAGCTTCAAGAGAGGATACTGTAGATGCTACAATTAATTCCTCGAGTTTGTGGTCATTTTGTAAGGTCTTCACGTTAACAAGGAATATGAGGTTGCATTTATCTGCATCCATCTATGAAGATAATGACACAAAAACTTTTCGGACTGGATAATTAAATTTGGAGATGGACAGCTTGGCGTGGTTAATGATGATATTGGTGATATTGAAATACCACTGGAATCCTTGATTCTTAACTCGAGCACTCCGCTTAAGAGTATTGTGGAATTCACATATCCAGATTTATTGGAAAATATGAAAGATTATACTTTTTTTATGGATAGAACGTTATTAGCACCCACACTTGAAGTTGTTGAAATGATCAATGAATTTGTTTTGTCTCTTATTCCTGGTGATGAAAAAGAATATTTGAGTTCAGATTTTTCATGCCAAGCAGATTCAGATGTCGGCATAGATGGCGATTGGATAACGACTGAGTTTTTGAACGATATCAAATGTTCTGGAATTCCAAATCACAAAATAGTTTTGAAGAAAGGAGTACCGATCATGTTATTGAGAAACGTTGATCAAACATCAGGGTTGTGTAATGGTACAGGGTTAATCGTTGAAGAGTTGCGGAGAAATGTTATCGGTGCAATCGTTGTATCCGGAAACAATGCCGGGGAGAAAGTTTACATACCAAGAATGAATTTGGTACCATCTGATCCTGGATTACCGTTTAAGTTTCAAAGAAGACAATTTCCAATATCTTTATGTTTTGCCATGACTATCAATAAGAGTCAAGAGCAAACATTGTCATTTGTTGGATTATTTTTGAGCAAGTCAGTATTCACTCACGGTCAACTTTATGTTGCAGTTTCACGAGTGAAAACAAAGGCAGGATTGAAAGTGTTAGTTTTAGACGATAGCGGTAACCCTTGCAATTTCACCAAAAATGTAGTTTACCCTGAAGTATTTCAAAAGATATAGATTTTATTTATACATTTATATGCTCTTTTCAATTTATATATGCATGCATTTCAATTACCAAAAATTTATGGTATATCAATAAATAAGATAAAAAAATTATCTGAGTAAAAAAAATTCGTCCGAACCCGTGCGTTGCACGGGTAGGAATACTAGTTAGAAAAAAATGAAAGGTGAAGGGTTTTATGGAACGGAGGAGGAATTATATAAAATTACCGATAAGTAATTATATAAAATCAAAGGTTACAAAAGAAATTATAATATTTTAAATGGAATGGTGGAAAATAAGGAGGAAGAAGAACAAAAATTAGATTCTCTTCCTAACTTTATAACTAGTCTGATTAAGGGCCTGTTCTTTAGGGTTAGAAAAAAATTAGATGTTGGAAGAAACTAGAAGAAACTGGAAAAGGTTAGAAGGAATTGAAAAAACTTCTTTTTCTGTTTCAGGGGTGGAGTACAAGCATGTATCTTATCTTGGCTATAGTATCTACCCAGAGCATGTGACAATAGTAAAAACTATACTGTACGTCTATACTCTGAGGATCCAAAAAGAATGAAATTTGCCAAATACCAAGAATCAACAAGATAAAGGCGTGGAAAGCTTATTTGGTGAGCTCACGCAGAGATGACACGTTGTGAAAAATCCAACACGAGATTACACACTAATAAAATTACGTCACATTATGTACGTTTGATGCATCCTACGTAAAATGATTATCAAAGATGAAGAATGTGCGATATGCGAATACAACCCGAATGACCATAATGTTAATGTTGATGCAGAACAACAAGATCTCACCATGTTCGAGTTACATAACATGTATACGCCCACAAGCTTCGTGCGGATTTAGTTGAATATTTGTGGAACTTCGCCTTTGCATGCACTTCTGAATGACGAATAATTATATTTTTATTAATTATATTTTTTAATATTTGTATTTTTTAAATTTTGCTTTTTAAATCGAATCAATGTAATTTTAATTTTAATGTTATTGAATTATTTACTTAATATTATTTATTTTAAGTTAATTATAATTTAAAAAAATTAAAAATAAAATAGGCGTGGTGGTGTGATACTGTGATCAACACTCTTGTGGTGTGATGGACTATGATGAAAAAGTGAAAAGATGACGTGGCATTGAATGATGTTGAGTGGGATGAAGTGATGAGTGGGTGTCATGGTTTGATTCATACCAAATTATCTAAGAATTAAATGTTGAAAACAATAAAAAGAGAGGATATCAACTAATTTATATACTCCCTCCATCCGAGAAAAACTTTCCCATTTAGACTTTTTCTCATTTTTTGAATGGTTGACTTATGAGTTGAAATGGCTAAAATTCCCTTAAAAAGGCTAGTGAATGAATGAGGAAGCTGACCGTCCCTGGTTCTGACCTTCGCCAGTCCCCACCGCCAACTTGAGCCACACTACTACCCCTTCACCGTCCATGCTCCGACCATCTTCCCTAGTCCCCACCACCACTGCTAGCCCAACCCTTTCCACCACCATCAGTCTTTTTATCGCCGCCAGCCCCACCACCATTGGCATCCCCACCACCATGGTCAGCCGCAACTCTGTCCCATGTACCACTATCACGGCTACCATAGCACAAATCTAAAATAAATAACAAGGAGAAAGGGGTGGTGATGTATATTTATAAGAAATAATGAGTAGTAGTATAGATCTACACTCACCATCACGTTAGCCGCCATGCAACCATCACCGCCTTAGCCCAGATCTGGAAGAAAGACGGAGAAGAAAGGAGTTTGGAAGAAAGATGGAGGGGGAGAGAGGCCGGAGAAGAGAAGGAAGAGAAGCAAGAATCAAGGGGGAGAGAGAAGGAGGAGAAGAGAAGGTGTGAGAAAGGAGGAGGAAGAGATGAGGTAGATGAAAATGAATGGAAGAAACTGACGAGGAGATGGAGTAGATGAGGCCGGTGAAAAAAATGGAGAAGTGTAGGAGGAAAGAAAAGAAGAATAGGAAGAAAAGAAAAAAAAGAAACAAAGAAAGGTTATTTAATGAGAAGAGTATTTTTGGGAGAATTGGGGTTAAAATTAGAGATGAGAAGATTATTTTCGGACGAGAAAAAAGAAGAAACGAAAAGATTATTGTGAAATTTGCACTAAAAAGGACTAAAACATAATGACTTTCCTAATGTAGGACTTAAACTTTTTTATTCCATAAACATGACATAATAATGACCTCGTGGAAGGAATAATGTCCAGCAATGATACACATTTAGTTGAATAATGACTTCGTGATAATGACCAAAGGTCCTACATTGGGAAATAAAAACATATGGTCCTATATTGAGAAAGTCATTATGTTTTAGTCCTATTTAGGTAAATTTCTCAAGATTATTTCCGGACGGAGAGAATAGTAAAATCTATATAGGGTTATATTTGATTGACCTTAACATTTTAATACTCTTTAACATCATTTTTATAGACATTACTGACACAGAACAATATAGAATCGAAAACCTTAGTGGAGTTATAGGCAATATATCCTCCCCATTCTCCCTATCCCCCGTCCATCCTATCTCTCTCTCTCTCTCTCAGTCTTCTCAAAAGTGTTACTGTTGTTTGCCATCTTCCCCACTCTTTCCTTTATTCACATCATCATCATCATCACAATCACCTGAGCGGCCATATATATAGAATTCATGTGCATACATGCATGCAGTTGCAGATATGGAGATATGATATGATGATGATGGATGAGCTATACGGGATTCACTCCGTGCTTGCGCCCTCACCATCTCCTTCCTATGCACCCTCATCCACCAACACTAATAATATTTATAATAATGATAATAGTAGTAATGATGTGTTCAGTGTTGGAATTGATGGTGATGATGATCATCATCATCACCATCAAAGTGGCATGATCAACGGCTGTGGTGACAGTACTCTACAAAGTCGTCGTCATCATCATCATCATCACCATGGAGGGATGATGTCATCATCCCCAGATGTTGTTAAAGCACAGATTGCTAATCATCCTCTTTATCCCAACTTAGTTTCAGCTTATATTCAATGCAGAAAGGTATGTAATAATACTCTCTCCGTCCCACAAAATATTTCTTGTTTTGATTTTTAAAGAATTTAAGTAGAATGTATTTTGATATTAGCATTCCAAAAATGTCTTTGGATGTGATAGATAAAAGTAGATGTGATGGGTAGATTAGTAATCAAAAAGTATGATGTGATAAGTAGGTTAAGAATGAGTAGGGATAAAAGTGACTTTTTAAAAGAAATGAGAAGTTTTTTGGGACGGATGAAAAAAGAAAAGAGAAAGGTTTTGTGGGATGGAGGGAGTATCTATCTCTCATCTTCCTCATTTTTTACTTCCTTATTTTTTTTTTACAAAAAATGGCTGTAGCCTGTATGCATGTAATTATTGACCATTGAAATGCTTTTTTTTTGAATGATGTTGAGAATATGTGCATGTTTTTTTATGTCAAGGTTGCAGCACCACCACAAATTTCTACCCTACTTGAAGAGATCAGCCACCACCCGCCCGCCGCCGCAACCACCACCCCAACAGCTGATGAGATTGCCGGAGATCCGGAACTTGATCAGTTCATGGTGAACATTGATTTAATTATTTTTGCCCCTTTGGGATTTTTTGGTCTCTTAATCATTCATCATACATTATGGTTTGGATTCATGGTTTAATTTATTATTTCTACTCTAGAGTGTTTGTCCAATTTTATTTTTTACAATCAAAATAAATAAACTCCTAGCATAAATAATTAATTATACAAAAATAACTTTATTAGATATTGTCACAAAAATATATTTATTAGATTTATCTTCAAAATATTATTTTATCTAGTTGATACACTCCCTCCGTCCCTAGATAGACTACAAATTTTATTTCTCTCCTCTCGACAACTTTTGTTTCTTTACACGATTTCATTAAGTATTTGATAAAATAAAATATTCTTGTCACCTCTTGTTTTGTACTCCCTCCGTTCCATAAAACCCTTCCGGTTTTGACTTTAGGGAAAAATAAGAAAAGTGTAATTTTGGTTGACTTTCCAATTTTGCCCCTAATGTGATGGGAAAAAGTAAGATGTGATAGTTTGATTATTAGTAAAAAAGTATGATGTGATAGATAGGGTATGAAAAAGTAGGAGTAAAAGTGGTTTTTAATAGAAAGTGGAAGTGTTTTGTGGAAAGCAAAAAAAATGAAAGAGGAAGAGTTTTGTGGAACGGAGAGAGTAGAACTTTTGACGTAATTTTTTAATATATAATTTTTATATCTTATAGATATACGAATTTGTAAATAAAATGATTTAAAAAATAGGAAATTTTACTCCGTAACCCGCAATATGTAATCAAATTGGGGCGGAGGGAATATCATATATTCCGTAATTTATACTACTTATTTAATAATTGGTCAAACGTTAATGAGTTAGACACATTTTGGGACGACGGAGGGAGTACTAAACTTATTCTCAATTCATTTTATTTTTTAATTCAATTTATTAATTAAATATTGATACAAAACTAAACAATAAAATTAATATATTTAAAATCTACGGAGTAAAATAAAATTTCTACGAAATATAAAACATCGTAATAAATTTGTATACTCCATTTGTATATATTAGACCTAGTGGATAACAACCCTAAATTTTTTCAGGGTGAAGTATTTTTTATTAAAATATTTTGGTTAAAAATATTTTCATAAAATTAAAAAAAATATACAAATTAAAGTTGCTAAATCATGTTAGGCTAGTGCATGTTCGTGGCTTGTTTAAGAGTTTTTTTAAAGTGGGGATTCAACTGGGTTGTTTTAAAGTAGGGAGTATACGGAATATATTTTATTCTCTCAAATTAGTGGTTTTAATGATGATTTGTTTGGGGTTTGAAGGAATCTTATTGTGAAGCAATGTACAAGTACAAAGAAGAGTTGTCAAAGCCCTTTGATGAAGCCAAAGCTTTCTTGAGTAGCATTGAATCTCAGCTCAGCAGCCTCTGCAAAGATTCCTCCTTACAAACCACCTCATTCAACTCCTCATTTCACTCTTGTGGTAATCACAATCTTTTTCTTTTTCATTTACCCCTTACTTTTTCATACCCTATCTATCACATCATACCTTTTTTCTAATAATCTACCCATCACATCCTACTTTTACCCATCATATCAAGGGTATTTTTGGAAAATCAATATACCAAAATATCTCTCCCTTAATTTCTCAAAAAGTCAAACCGTCCCATTCTTTTTGAGACGGAGGGAGTATTACTTATTTTTGTTCAAACCAGACTAAATTTTCTTTTTCATTTATTCTTATAACTTACTTTGTATTACTTATTTTTATTCGAACCAGACTAAATCAGATAAGATAAGATAAGAAAATTACTTTATTTTTAACTAGAATCAGAAGACCAGATCTGATCTTTATAATTTTAGATTAGAACCAATTAGATTTAGACTGCGTTCCGTTTGCCTAATCTAATCTGAATCTGATTTTTTGAAGATCTGATTTGGTGATCTGATCTCATTGCAGTTATAATTACAATTGTTTCTGTTTTGATCTGGTCTGATTATAATAAGAATAACTAATAAGCAGAAAAAATAAGTTGAACGGAACGTAACCTAAATTAGATGTTTTTTTATACCATTCGTTCAATCGTTTGACACTAATACTGAGTTTTGTTTTAAAATTTTTAAAATTAGTAGCTTTGCCCTTAGCTTATTTAGTCGTTTAATTAGTTTCTCGATCGTATTACTCCCTCATCACATAAAGATAGGGATATATTGATTAAAGTGGTAAAATAGGGCAGAAATAATTTTATGTTAATTTTTCAAAAATATCATTGATGTAATGTGTAGATTATTTGAAAAAAAAGGTATGATATGCTAGATAAGGCATGAAAAAAGTAGATTTGATTTTTTAATAGAAATGAAGACTTTTGGGGATACGATTTATTTGAAACGTGAAGGACTTTTTGAGACAGAGGGAGTATTGAACTCCAACTCTCAGAGTCCTTCAGTTCCAATTTGAATAATTTGTTTAATATGGAGCCAATGGAAGAAATAAATAGATCTATATTCTCAGCATAATGGATAAAAAGTAAGATTTGACAACCCTGAGAAATGCTAGAGTCACAAACACTTCAATCACAAAATACACAAATTTAACATTTGTGTATTTAAATGTTTATTTTTTAATTATTCAACATCATTTAATTCATTTAATGAGGTGCACAAATAGCAAGGTTGTGTATTTTGTGACCGAAGTGTTTGTGACTCTAGCATTTATAGCAAAGCAAAATCGGCTGCGCTGCACAAATGCCAAGAAGAAATCACGACTCGCCCCAACCACGGCACAAGGCCGCACGGGATTCGCGGTTGTTTTTAGGCGGTCCGCCGCGCGCCCGTGCNTTCGTCCTCCCGCCCATCCATTTTCTTCTTCCTCTTCCTTGGCCGCAAGTTGCCTAGGGCCTTCTTCTTCCTCCATTTTTTTCAATTTCATTTTTTTTATTTTAAAACCTTTTTATATTAATTTTGAATCTATTACTTTTATTTTATTTCTTACTCCCTCCATTTCTCAAAACGGTTCCTGTTTTGACTTTGGAGAAAAAATAAGGAAAGTGTAATTTTAGTTGACTTTCCAATTTTGCCCCTGATGTGATGGGTAAAAGTAAGATGTGATAGTTTAGTTATTAGTGAAAAAGTATGATGTGATAGGTAAGCTATGAAAAAAGTAAGGGTAAAAGTGGTTTTTTAATAGAAAAAGGAAGTGTTTTAAGAAAAACAAAAAAATGAAAGAGGAAGTGTTTTAAGAAACGGAGGGAGTATTATTTATCTATTTTTATTAATAAATAAGTATTTGTGTTAAATATTTTTGGGATCATTGTAAATGCCCTTACTCCCTCTATCTCATAAAATTTTTTATACTTCCTCTTTTGGATGTCCTATAAATGGTGAGCGAACTATTTTGATGAAAGGGGGGTTAATGATTTTGTGTGTTCTTGACCACATAAGGTAAGGTAAAAAAACAACCATGTCGTGGTACACCAAAAAGTATACTTCAAGTTATACTCCGATCTAAAGAAATGTACCGATATTTTAACAATTCACACTAGCATAAAATTTAGTTAACTTAAAATTTTTTACACAGATATATCAATGTAAACCATTAAACTAACACAAAATATCGATGAATGCCTTTAGGTGTACAAAATACTCCGTAAGATACAAATTTTAGCGTACAAATGAGTTAATCCATTTAAAAATGGTGAGAGAAACTGTTTTGTTCAAACTTCAAACCTGTGATGGCGTGCAGATATGGCAATACATATGGCTTTGGTGGGCCTTCCTGTATCGTTTATAGGGTTAGTTTGTCATATATTTGCACTGCAAATAAAGTTTTAGGCCTTGGAACTTGATGCCTCGCTCTTACACCAGGCAAACAAGCATGCATGCATTGTCAGGCTCATAATTGATGATCATGGATAGGTTTATCCATCACCCCCCCCCCCCATTACGTACAGTCCATGAGTATGGCCTACTGCCCTACTTCAACTTTTTAAAATATTTTTGCCCTAATTTTTTATGCAATATATCATACTCCCTCCGTTTGAAAAAAGACTTCTCATTTTGATTTGAGGCAAAAATTAAGAAGTGCTAAATTATAGTTGATTTCCAATTTTGTCCCTGATGTGATGGGTAAAAGTAAGATGTGATGGATAGATTATTAGAGAAAAAGTATAATGTGATAGGTAGGGTATGAAAAAATAAGGGTAAAAATGGTTTTTTAATAGAAAGGGGAAGTGTTTTGTTGGAAGTTGAAAAAATAAAAGAGGAAGTGTTTTTGAGAACGGATGAGTATTTGAGAGCGCGTTAATCACGCGCTCATCAACTGCAAGTATGTATTCATCTAAAGTCATACTCCTTCGCAATTCTCAAACATACGTGAGTTACGTTCTGCAATATGTCCTTCGCAATTCTCAAACATCATTTTCTATACTCTTAACCTCTTTAAACCCTAGATAATTATTCTCATTTTAGTCATCAGCAACAAACTTGAAGGCCGAACATTAGTCGACAAAAGCTCGTCATCAATCGATCAACCAATTCATCAATCCATGATACCTTCACCAAGCTTCAACACATATATAGATGAGCGTGTAATTAACGCACTCTCTAATATGACACAGATGGACCATTGGTGTAACATTTTCAAAAGCTCAGGGGAACATTATTCCTGCAACTTTTAGAGTTCAGGATGAATCCGTGCAATTTTTAAAAAGTTCAAGGATGAATTTATAATGTCGTACAAATTAAAACTCCTTTTCAATATAAAACAAGTTGAGAAGAAGAGACATGTTTTGATCAATAGTAATGAATGATTATCAGATGAAGGTGGTGGTGGGGATACATCAGAAGAGGAGGAGGAGGAGGAGTATGCGAGCCACGGGGAAGTGGAAGTAGGAGACGACGGAGACGGCGAACGGCAACTGGCGCAGATTAAAGAAATGCTGATGCGGAAATACAGCGGATACCTAAGCAATCTAAGGAAGGATTTCTTGAAGAAGAGGAAGAAAGGAAAGCTCCCAAAAGATGCTCGTCTTGTGTTGCTCCAATGGTGGGACTCCCACTATAGGTGGCCTTACCCAACGGTATGTATGTACACATCTATATCCATTATTATTCCAATTTAGTTATCCACATTTTTTAAACACATTAGAGTGAAGTGCTACTACATGTGATCTACTGCAAAATATTACTTGGTCCGTCCCTGAGTGTTTGTCCACTTTTGACTTTTGGAACTGTTCATCTAAGCACTTTGACTTATCAAATTCTCTCAATGTGTAAGCCTAAAAATAGTCATGTGTGACCTTGTTTGATTCGTCTTAACATATAGATTATTAATATATAATTTTTATAATTTTTTAATATACAAATTACAAGATAAAATGGATTAAAGAAGTGCATTGGATGGTGTGCAAAAATGAAAGTGGACAAACACTCAGAGGGAGTAGTCGAATTTGACATTTTCAAGTCAAACCGGTCAACTTTATTAGATTCTTTTTTGAAAGCACTTTCCAAGTCTTTGAATTATTTTATATGCTTATAGGGTCCGTATAATGTTTTTGTACTAATAACTAACACTTCTTTTGTCCCGCAAATCATTTCTTGTAATGACTTTTTGGAAGGAAAATTGTTGAAATTTGACCAAGGTAAATTAAGGGGAAATTTACTTAAATAGCACTAAATCATAATGACTTTCCCTAAATAGCACCACATGTGTTTTTCTTCCCAATGTAGCACTTTAGTCATTATGCATTAGTCATTATTCAAGTAAATATTTGTCATCACTGGATATTATGGATATTATTAAGTTCGATTTAGGGGATTAATAATTTGAGTGTTATTTAGAGTTCGAAATGACTTAAGTTTTAGTGCTATTTAGTACAAATATTTCTAAATTAAAACAACGATAATAGAGACAAGTAGGTTGGGCTTGTGAAATGTCATCAAAATGGATAGAGCATAGAAGGTAGTTGGGGTAGCTAGGTTCGGTTAGATTTATGAAATGTAAAGACAATTGTGTTCGTTTAACCCAAATTGAAATGTTTTATAGGACAAATAAGATGTAAAAGTTGAAATGTTTTACATGACAGAGGAAGTATGATTTTTGTTTGAGTTATGATCAAAGTATATCTAATTTGACACATAAATCAAACTTAATGAATACTCTAGAATGGATATAATATGCTCCCTCCGTTTCTTAAAACGGTTCTTGTTTTGACTTTGGGGCAAAATAAGGAAAACGTAACTTTAGTTGACTTTTTAATTTTGTCCCTGATGTGATGAGTAAAAGTAAGATGTGATAGTTTAGTTATTAGTGAAAAAGTATGATGTGATAGGTAGGGTATGAAAAAGTAGGGGTAAAAGTGGTTTTTTAATAGAAAAATGAAGTATTTTAAGAAAAACAAAAAAAAAATAAAAGAAGAAGGGTATTAAGAAACGGAGGGAGTATATTATTGAGAGAATAAATACGAAGTAACACTACTACAACAAAGATCAAATCGACTACTCCATTTGTATCGGTTTTAGAGAAAACTGATGCAAATGAGGTAGTCAATTTCGCCAAATGGTAGTTTTTATTCGGTTATTAGTAATAACCAATTCAATTGAATAGGTTATTTCTAAAAGTTTTGTTCTTTTTTCTGATGTGTTGTGTTCTTTGTGCTCTGTTTGCTGTTTTGGGCCTACTGTGTTACAGTTTCTGCTCATTTTTTTAAACAAAAATATATCTTTTGAAACGGTTATGTGGTAATAACGGATTCTAACTTTCTCTTCCTTCTGCCAGAGCCCAGAGCTTGGGGGGAATGTTTGTCAGTAATTAGTAATAGTATTAATCATATTAGTGTTTGCTTACTAGTTAGCTTTCATAATAAAATACTCCTTCCGTCCCAAAAAGATTTACACGTTTCAAAAAAATTGTGTCCCACAATCCCTTACCCATTTCTATTAAAAAACCACTTTTACCCCTTACTTTTTTAAACCCTACCTATCACATCATACCTTTTTCCTAATAATCTACACATCACATCCTACTTTTACCCATCACATTAAGGGTATTTTTGGAAAGTCAACACAAAATTATCCCTCCCTTAATTTTAACTTTAGTCAAAATGGGTAACACTTTATTTAAGATTTGGAATGGTATATTTATTAGAAAGTGTTACCCAAGCATTTTTCTTAAAATCATTAGAAATTTGGAATGGTATATTTATTTAAGATGATGAGGTGCATATATGTGAATGGCACAGGAAGAAGAGAAGAACAAGTTGTGTGAAATGACAGGGTTGGACCAGAAGCAGATAAACAACTGGTTCATAAACCAAAGGAAGCGCCATTGGAGGCCCTCTGAAGGCATGCGCTTTGCACTTATGGAAGGACTAAGCAATAGTAATAATACTAATAATATTAATATTAATCTTGCATAGTAATTATATTCATAATACTAATTAAATTATAATAATGGTTATTATGGGATTGAAGCTGCATGATATATATGATTGGTCGTCATGTACTTTAGTTAATTTTTATACTAAGAGGAATTTACTTAAATAACACTAAAACATAATCTAATTGTTTAACGAGTGGGGGAGGATTGGATCGGGGGCGGATGATATGATTTTACTCGGACGTAATTAATCTTGCCATGCATTTTAAATATACTACCTCCGTCCCAAAAAGATTTACACGTTTTGACTAAAGTTGAAATTAAGGGAGAGATAATTTTGTATTGACTTTCCAAAAATACCCTTGATGTGATGGGTAAAAGTAGGATGTGATGTATAGATTACTTGAAAAAAGGTATGATGTGATAGGTAGGGTTTGAAAAAGTAAGAGGTAAAAGTGGTTTTTTAATAGAAATGGGTAGGAGATTGTGGGATGCAATTTTTTTGAAAGGTGTAAATCTTTTTGGGACGGAGGGAGTATTTATTAGGTGATGACACATCCAAAATGGAGAAGTTATCTAATTGAATTGTACCATCAATGTAGTAATTTAATCTCTCTCTCCACAAATTATTTTTTTATTTGAAATTTTACGAAACTATCAACAAGTTGGAAACTATCAACCATTTGTTCTTCAGCTGCTCGGTGACTAAGCATATATGGGGTCTGATTCGTTCTTGGATGGAGATTGAGGCACACCTTACCACTCTCATACGAGCTGCCCGGTGGTTGCGGTCAAACAAGAGAGGTGCCCTTCCCAGGAGGAGGGCGATGAAGCTTGCATTTGCCTGCACCGTCTTTGTGCTTTGGAAGTCTCGGAATGAGGTTTGTTTTGATCATAAGCCTCTTGATATTACGACTCTTGTTTGTAAAATTAAAGTTATGGTTTATACAATTCTTGGGCGTCTTTGGGCATATGTTTGCATTGACTTTTAGTCTGATTTGTCCACTTTTGGTGTAATTCTACCAGGGCTTGCGTGCCTTTGACTCTGATTGGGCCTGCGTGCCTATGTTCCTCTTTAGTTTGTCTTATGGGGATTGGGGAATGTCTACCCCTTGTTCGCGGGTATGCCCGTTGCATTTGTACATTATTCTTTTTAATATTATTTACCCTTTACCAGAAATTTTGGCAATGTCACATCGGAACATTGAGGCACTTAGAAAAAGATCATTGACACAATTAAAGAACTCAACCACATGTCTTTGGTCACCACCAGCCGGCGGCCTCCGTTGATCAGTGTAATCACCACCGGATTACGGTGACAATAAATTAAGGTTTGCTTTTGTTTTTTTTTTGGTTGAAAAAATTAACCTCAACTCCTTTTTTTTCTCAACTTATTCTAACGACTTAAAAAAATTACATATTATAAACATACAACAACACCATATATCCAAATATATAATATACCACCTCAAACACGGGAAAGATTAAAATGAATTATTTTTTTTATCCAAAATGAGTTTTTTTACATATTTATTTGGGTGATCATATAATTGAATGATTTTTTAACACTTTTTTTCCATTTTTTCCAATTATTTCTAATTTTTTCTTACTCATTCAAGTTTTTTCAATTTCTTACAAATTTTTTTTCCAACTCTTTCTAGCTTCTTTCAATATGCAATGTTAAAATTCTAACAAAAAAATAGTCCCTACGTCCTAAAATTAACTTCTCATTTGACTTTTCACGGTCTCCAATGCGACACTTTGACCATTAATATCTCAATTTTTATATAAATATATTTTATAAAAATTATATATTTTAAAACTATGTCTCAAAATGAATCTATTGCTAATAAATTTATATGAAAATTCAATGTATTTTTTCTATAATATACGGTCAAAGTTTAAAAAATTTGACTACAAAAGTCAAACTGAGAAGTTAATTTTAGGACGGAGGGAGTAGACTCTAAGTGTAACTAAGGCATTCCAGCACAATAAAGAGATATCAAACGTTGGGCCGTTTTAATCCGTAACATTTGATATTTGTCCATTATGCATGTGGATATTTATGGGTTTATTTGTCTATTTTTACCTTTTGAGTTAAATGGGAGAAATTTGAAGATCAAGTAAATACAAATTGTATTGGATATTTGTACAAAGGTTATTTAGTCGATTTATTTTCATAAATAATTAATATAATTAATATGATTGATACAATAGTATCTAAATATGCTTTTGGATCAATGATAAGGGTGTATGTGGTGACTTAGACCAATATGAGTTTTGATATCTTCGATATCAAATTTTAAAAATTACGGAGTAGTTTTTATCAGTAAACAAAAAATGAATATAACTTTCAAATTTAGAGATATTAGAATCCCGCCAATAGCCCCACTTCTTGCTATTTGCCAGAATCAACATAGTCGATTGTATCGTTGTAAAAAATTCCATTGGTTGTGTCATTCTCTTTTTAAGCAAAAAATTGCTACTGGGTATTGGCCCCCTAGTTTTGTGATAAGAACTATTGGGTACCTCCAATTTTTGAAAGATACTCTCGACTACCTCCAATTATTCGAAAACTTATCAAGAGGAGATTTTTTTATGTATCCTTCCATTTCTTCTATTATTATTATTGTTGTTGTTGTTGTTGTTGTTATTGTTGTTGTTATTATTATTATCATTATTATTATTATTAGAACTAATTAATAGTTTTACTAGTCTAATTCTAAAAAAACACTAATGCCCTACCAAAAAAATTATACAACCCTAATAATCTTTCTTGATCTCCACTTGGATAAAAGAAAAAATTAAAGTATTTTAAATCTTAAATTGAAAATTAATTTTGATAATCAGTAATTGTATAATTTATAAATTTAAAATTGTTACTATATGGAGTACAATAATAAGCTAAAATTTAACATTATTTTTGTCATTAAAATATAGTGTTATATTTTCATCTTATTATTGTAAATTTTTATGTTCTATCTCCGTTTCAAAATGATTTACACATTTACTATTTGAGTCTCTCAATAAATTTTGTTTATTTATGTATTTTCATTAGTTATTTGCAATGATAACATAAAATATCTTTGTTGCATGTTTTTTAATAGAACTTTTGATAGTTTTTATAATATGTAAATTGTATATTTTGTTTTTATATCAAACTATAGATCAGATAAAATCACACTTAAAAAATATGAGATTTTATAATTTTTTGAATAGTGTAAATTAGTTTGCTAGGGCAGGGGGTTAGGGTGGGTCGAAATCGTCAATTTTACGAACGTATGAGAGCACTGTAGGACCCTCGGTCATTCCATAAAATTACCGGACAATGTCACATGAACCGCTCCCCTTTTTATATGCTTATACATAAAATGAGATATTAGTAGTTAAAGTATTACATTAAAGACCGTGAAAAATTAAATGAGAAGAAAAATATAGAATGGAGATATATACTCCCTCCGTCCCAATTTAAATTGTCTGTTTGCCTTTTTTCTCCGTCCCAAAATAAGTTGCATGTTAGTTGTTTTTGTAAACTTTTAAAAATAAAATACCTAAACTACTGCTAGAATAAGTCACTTTTCTTCACCTTATCTTCTCATTCATCATCATCCCTTCTAAAAAGTAATGACAATTTCGAAAAATCAATTATATTTTTTATTTTCCTTAAATATGCCAAAAATCAAAACAGGTAATTTAAATTGAGACGGAGGGAGTATAAATTTTAATTTTTTTACTTTTACACTTAAAATCAAATAAAATGAAATGGAAACAATTTCTATTTAATTTATAAATTGGCTAATCGAAATTAAAGGAGAAAGAACATTAATTATGACTAGATAAAGTATCAAATAAGTGAGGTCACAATATGAACATCACAACTCCACAAATACGGAGTATAATTTTATTACTCCGTAATACGGATTGGAGTACTAAAACAGAAGAGACAAAATGAACCATCATTTTTAAATCCAACAAACTAAAACCTCTCAAGTGCAAGATTAATATAATAATGAAGATATATGGTACACATTAAGCCGTGTTTTTTTAAACATTCACTACTTAATTAATGCTTAAGGGGTCTTGCATGCCCTTTATTTTATTGAATTGAAATTAATTGATTGGAGATTGTGAACCCATAGATTAATGTGGAATGGGGTCACAAATAATTAAGCATAGATAGATAGTTTCTTGCATGAAATCAAACTAAGACCATACATAATAGAATCATAGGTAAAAATAAAAATAGGCAAAAGCCAAACCTATTCATGATCAATTGCCAATTCTTCAACAATAATGCTCACCTTGTTGAAGGGATTATTCAAGGTGTGGATCTCAACACAAGAACATTTGATAGGAAGCGCGACGGATCCTGACCCCACACTTTGGTCGTAGGACTGGTGAACGACAGACGCTGGGTGCATCTTCCGTGCTATGATCACGGAATTGATGACCTCGTCTGTCGGATGGTGCACCCTGAGGACCTCAAACCCTCGGAGGTCGCGAGGGTCCACGACAGGATACAGGAAGGCCCGTGCCCCGTGTGCGCTCCTCACCATAAGGAGTGCACCGGGAGCCATGTGCCTTGCCAGGTGATCGACGACCCGGCCCTTCTCCTCCTTGTCCATCCCCACCAGGGCCGCGAGGAACACGACACCATATCCCCCGAGCTCCGACGTGGCGTCCATGATGTCCCCCGTGTGGAACGCCATGCGCCGCGAGAGCTCAGGGTCGGACCCCACCAGCCTCGATGCCAAAAAATTCGCGTCGGGGTCCACGTCGTAGTTGTGGACCTCCGCGGTGGCGAGTGGCGAGGACAATGGAGGTCAGCGGCAGTGGCCCGGACCCGACGAACGCGACGCGTCCGGGCCCAGTGCCGCAGTGGCCAGCCAAAAGGCCGAACTCGAGCTCGGCGAGCCTGAGGTAGTTGTCATAGTAGGGAAAGAGGGCGAGGCTCCGGAGGGGGTTCGGGAGGGAGGCGAGGAGGCGGGAGTAGTGGGACTCGAGGAGGCCCTCGGCTTCGGCGCAGAGGCGGATGAGGTGGGACCGCTTCTCCTGGATCACGGAGCAGAGGGCGGAGACGTCCACGGGGCTAGGGGGGATGCAGGTGTGGACAAGCTGTGTGAACAAGGTGTCGACATCTTTGGAGGGTTTGAGGCTGTCCAGCTTCGAAATCTGGTGGTAAAGATGGAGGATTTTCTGCACAACTTGGCTGTTTTGGCACACCATGTTGACACAATGGCCTTATTGTTGTTGTTGTTATTATGGCCAGAAATGGGCAGAAAGTATGCTATATATCGTAATATTTGTAAATAGGTTTTGTGACAGGGCTTTCCAAAAGGCTCTACTTATTGAAGATTGTAGGACCCAATTAAGGGGAAGTGGGGAAACGATTAACGCATTAAGCTTTGCCACTTATTCATAAAGACAATTGGGGAATGATGATGCATCTAGTAGTTGCATAGGGAGGGATGGGAATATGATACTCTGCTTTTACATTTCACACAGGGTAAAATAGCTCTTTAAAAATAATACTAAAATTACTCATTTTAAAGGCGTGCCATTTTTGAAACAGGAAATGTTTTATGAGACGGAGGGAGTATGTGCTTCTTTTCATGATTCGTTAAGGGTGAAGTAGCCGTTAGTCAATATAACTTTTGACACTCATCAATTATATGTGCTTCTTTTAATGCTTCTTTTAATGTTTCTCTGACTGGTCAGAGAAACAGTCGCTCTATTTTTTAAATTAAGGGTATGATTGCGCATGTGATTACTTGTAGTGCTTGAGTCAGTGGTTGGAAAGAGGCTCTCTACCTTCGAATATGAGCTAATAAAGTCTACTGCGTTCACACACTTTTCCCAGACCTTACGTTTGTCGGATTCGACTAGGTTGTTGTTGTTGTTGATGTTTTTGTTGTTAGAATAAATTATAACTTGGATTTGTAAAAGACCAAAATAGAGTAAAATATAATAGCAGTACAAAAATAAGACCTTTATTTTTTATCCTAAAAAAGATTTATAATGTCAATAGTACCAACACAAAATAAAAATATTTCTATGAAATGCCAATATACAATGCTACATTCATATCACAATGCAATCAAGGGCGGATCTAAGTTATAGGGTATGAGGATGGCCCCCAGATAAATATTTTTTGTTTAAAATAGTGTTAAAAAAATAATTCTGTGGTAAATCAAAATAGCTCCACTTGTAAAAAATGTCTACCTCCAGTGCCAAAATTAAAGAAAATTCTAGCTCAAAAGCAAAGAATACTTATTTAATTAAAATACTCCGTATAAAGATAAAATATTTCAAATATCATAGTTATGTTAGGTTAAAATATACATTTATGTTATATTTTCCTGCTCTAAAATATTTTATTTTACCTTTTGAACAGTTGATGGAAATAAAATTAATTCATTTTTTATTATTACAAATAGCCTTAAGAAAATTCAAGGGCACTGCCTCCGAACCCCGTTCTATTATTTACTGTAGAGTATGAGTTTGTCCGAGTGGTTTTTTTTCTAGATCCGCGACTGGGTGTAATAATCTCATTTTGAGGATAAAACATGACATTTCTATTTTAGAAATAAATTTTATATTTTACTTTTATTTTGGGTGATTTTTTGTCTTCAAAAAGATGTCTCAAGAAAACATTCATTTTTCAACAGGAGAAAGACCAGAGAAGGACAAAAACATTGAAAAAATACCAAAATAGGACTTTCATCTTTTTATTCCTGAAATAAGACTTAAATTGCATTTACATTACCAGGTCATGTACATTACCAAAAAGTATAATAATGTGCACATGTAGAGTGTCAAATTACTACAATGGGAAATCCTATTTCAAGAAAAAAAATATGAAAATCTTATTTTAATACTTTTCTCTATGTTTTAGTCATATTTAAGGTGATTTCCATTTTTCAACTTCATTAATAGAAACATAGTAGTAATACATATCGGATATTAACTACGGAGTAAGCATTTTCCATTTTTCATGAAAAATACTACTACCACTCTGTACTTGAATATTTGTTGAATTTTGATTTTTTAAATACAAACATAATTAACTTTTGACTGATAATTAAATAACAATTATATGGGATGCTAATTAAATAAAACAATATTTCAAAAATATTTTATAGGATAATTGTAAGAAAAATATTTTTGTATTTACTCAAAAAATTATCTTTGTATCAATATCTAAGATCAATTTTTAATTAATGGTCAAATTTTATCCATTTTAACTACAAATAATAAAAAATGAACAAATACTCATGGACGGAAGTACTTTTTATGTGATTATTCTTCTACGGAGTATCATTGAAAATGTGAACTAACACTATGGAGTTTTTTTTATGTATAAACAGTACAAGAATATCCATGCATGTTTATCTGTAGGACATTAGGAATTCAATTTTTTCTTTTAATTTACATGAATGAGATTTATAATAAGTTACACTCTAAACATCATTAAAAATAGTAAAATGATCATCAGAGCCTATGAAATACTTTTTAAGTTATGGTATTTTGTTCATTATAATGAATAATGTGACCTATCCCATTCACCAAATCATAAACCATAAGACCCACCTTCCCTCCAACCCAACTCCCCAAAGTGCTTCCTCCAAAATACCCAACCTTCCCAAACCTCTGCTCCCCAAGAAACCCAACCAAATAAGTGCCAATCAAAGTGCCCGAGCTTCGGAGCGACCCTTCGGTCACACTACCCCCGAAGTAAAACGCTTCCAAAAGGTCCCACCCCGAGGAAACGATGGGGCCCAGAATGCGGTCCGCTTGGCGGGTCGCCATCCTGGCGGCCCGCGAAGCCGCTTTCTGGGCCTCTTTGTTTGCTTGTTTGACAGACATACCTTGGGATAGAGCGTCGGTCATAGCACCTTCCATTGCTATGCTCTTTGCTCTCTCAACATGGGAGGTTCGGATGCTGTAAACATAGAGCTTCACAGCCTCTTTGACCGCGCACACGGCGCTCCCACTTCCCCCATCTAAACAATACATTATGTTGAAATGCCCAGTCTTGGATGAAGTTTCTTTGCCTGCCAACTTCCTGCATCTTTCGGCTGTAATAACATGCAGCCGAAAAATGTACCAAAACAGATGAAGAAGAAACCATGATTAGAAGTCCTATGACTCCAATGCCATAATTCAATTAGTAGAAATGCCAAGAAGTGCAAGAAAAGACCAAGATAACTAAGTAAGGGAAGAAAACTACCAAAGTGGCTTTGTTTTATACTTCTATTTAAGGCAGTTTAGGTCATAGACTTGATTACATGCTACCATTAATATGTTTCTAATAAGGCGATAGTTTCTATTGCTGTAGCTCCCCTTCTCCAAAGAGGTTCATCTATCTCAATCGAAAAGTTAATAGGTGTCGCATCGTAAAGGGATCGGAATTGATATTTTTAAACTAAACTATCCACTTAGATCAGAAGCTGTAGGTGAGCTGAATCTTGAGTTATGACGAAGCATAAAGACATGCTCCAATTTGGTTATTCTTATTTTAGGAACAAGAATCTATTGATAAAGCATTTGATGGTTCATAGTAAAAATAGGTTCAAGTGAAACTATACCATAAGAGGCGCGCTCTATTTACCATGAATGCAATTGCGTAGTAATAATATAGCCAACCACTACAACGAGAGTGAGGGTGGAGAAAATGAACACGATTCAAGATGTGAACCGAAATGTGTCTTTCCCTTTGCAGAACTGAGTGTGTCTTTGGTTGGAGGAAACTTTGAGGGGGGGGGGGGGAGCATATGTCTTTCCCCTCATTTGTTTAAAAAACTGAAGGCGAGGGAACCCAAATTTTCTCTCCTCACTCCACTGACCTGATTCCGGTCCCCTCCAACATAGGGGTTTTCGTAGGGATGTCAGAAATACTTCAAAAAAACAGTAAGGTTACAAAATGGTAAAGGGCTCAGATAGATTAATAATGCAAGATTGCATGTGGCATCATACAATCATAGGAGTAACTCAAGACCATGTAGGAAAAGCTAACAGTTAGAAGACTGAGAACAGAGCCTTTCAAAGTAAAAGCCGGCTACTTTGAATAACAGCAAAGCAACTTGAGTTACAAGGTAAAAAGGGATATTTTCCCATTTCTGATTGATTTAACTGCAAAAGGACGGTAGCCACTCTCATCTTAGATAAGCGGGCGACATGCGCTTTTTTCCTGGCCCCCTATTGTTTGGAGCCCCAAAATATTTAGGTCCAATATATTAACGAGTATATTAATAACTGCATTTTATGTTAGGTCCATTCATTTCATAAAAAAACTCACATATATTGTAAAATAGGTTTTAATACCTTCTCTGATTTTAAGTGATTTTGGATTTCGAAAAGCAAACTCCATGAGGCAAATTTGGATAGCTCAATCACTTGAATTGATAATGAAAATGCACGTACTATATGGGATTCTACTGGGTTGTTGTAGTTGCGTATATTGTCATATGATTCATATCATAGAGAGGCTATATCAGAGATGAGATTTACATATTCCTGTCAAACTACCGCCTAGGATCTGGTTTGTTTGTCTCTTTTTCTAGAAATGTAAATTAATTGTATATTTGAAAACCACTCTTTATTAGCTCACCCAATACCTTCTAAACACCCAAAAACATTGAGACAATATATGCAAGTTCATAGAGCTCGGTGTATCCCTTGGACCTTGCTCTAGAGTGCGATATGCAGAGCTTGTTTGATTTGGTATTTTGGGATTTCTACACCAATGGTTGATGCATTGTTTCTAAGAGAAATCAAATGAACATGAAATATGTTATATACTTCTATGTATCATGTTGATGTATTCATTTTCCTCACCTCCTTTACACTATTTTTTCCTCATCCAAACCTCGTAAAAACATCTTGTTTTCGGGTTGTTTGAGAATGGTAGAAACTCCAATTCCATTGACTTTCAACACCTCGATGAGGGTCCGACGAGCGGAATGATTGTGTGTACGCGGATGTTACCCTTACTTATAGAGGTATTTTTATGAAAGGCAAACGGCTCGAGAAAACAAATAAACAAAAGTTTGAACAATCAAATTTTATAAGAAAAACAGCAACTGTAAGCCAAACTACAATTCAACATTCTTATGAAAGACCTAAATTCAAATTGCTCAGGACAAATCAATTCAGCCCCAATCATGTAGCGATTCCCATCAAGAGCCACCCATCTTCCCAACAGATATTTTGGCAGAAACAAATTCCAGATTTGAACAACAACATAAACAAAAAAAAGCACAAATGTGTATAATTATTCGATGGTTTCCATCAGAGAAATGGAGAAGATGAATGCTGTGGGCGTTTACCTGCATTGCTCAGACCGATGAAGGCAACAATTGCGAAGAGTAAATAAACCCTTCTCTTCTTTGTCAGTTTCGAATTGGCCATTTCACGTCGATTTCTTGAGATGTGCGAGAGGGAATATTCTTTGTTGAGCAAGAAGAACATACTCCGTATTTACTAATTTTGAAAAACTAGTACGTGTCGCACGACTCATATTTACGTTATGAAATTATATTGGTATCATTATTAAAAAATAAATTCAGGTTATAAGTGAAAGGAGTGATAATTTGTCTATATGTTGATGATATGTTAATTTTTGGCACCGGCCAAAATCAACTTAACAAAATAAAAGAATTTCTATTATCAAGTTTTTTCGTGATGGATCTAAGGGAGGCGGGCGTAATCCTAGGCATTTGGATAAAGCGCGTGAATAATTGGATACTCATTACAGAGTCTCATTACATCGAAAAAATATTGAAGAAATTTAATTGTGAAAATTGTTCTCAGGTCAATACACTTATGGATTTAAGCATTTAACTCTTACCTAATCAAGGCAAAGATGTGTCTCAACTTGAATACTCAATGGCTATTAGTTGGTTAATATATGTCATGGTTAGCACGAGATCGGATATAGCATATGTTGTAGGAAAGCTTAGTAAATTCACTAGCAATCTTGGTACACACCATTGTCAAGTTATACGAAGAATATTCAAGTACTTAAGAAAAACTATGGATTATAGTTTGATGTATTGGAGATCCTCTTATTCTCAAAGGATACTTAAGATACAAGTTTGATTACTAATATGAAAGATTTCTCCTCTACTAGTTGATGGGTTTTCCTACTAAGCAAAGGAACAACCTCCTAAGGATCAAAGAAACAAACTTGCACCGCAATGTCAATAATGGAATCTCAAATTGTTGCTTTAGCATCAGTAAGTAAAGCGGTTGAGAGGCAAAGAAACTTGGTGTATGAGATTTCATTATGATCCAAACAAATATCATCAATATCTATAAGATGTGACGGCGCTACTACATTGACTAAGGCATATAGCCAAATGTATAATGGTAAGTCTAAACACGTGGGTGTTAGACATATCATAATTCATAATTTGGTCAAAAGTAGTGTAGTATCAATTGAGCTTGTTAGAAATCAAAACAATTTAGCTAATCATTTAATCAATGTAAGAAAAGATCTCGTGCAAAATTTGGCTAAAGGGATGGGATTAAAGTTTGTATGATATCTCCCATGTTCAGATATCAAATTCCCACCTAATATGATGTTAGGTGTTGAATTCAATGTGGAAAGCTTGCGGCACTATAGTAACTTCATCTAAAGGTATGTGTTAAGAACTGCTATTAAAAGAGGTTGAAGTATATCTTCTTAATGGTTCTTTTGAAAGATTCTATATGCAAGTACACGACATAAAAGAACTACCGATACGAGTATGAAGTTTAGCCGCTTCACAAAGTTTGGATTTAACTTTTATATGCTCGTTGAAGGATAGGGATACAAGGCTTGTAAATATGGTGTCAAGCTTAGAACAAAAAGGCATTTTGAGCTTATGTCTATATTATCTTCATGTATTCAAATGAATTGCAAGAGTTCAATCCTAAGTGAAACCCTGAAATTCAAAGATTTAATTGGAATGTGTAATGTAATAAGATGAAAATTCAATCGTCGCAATATTTTCAGTTATGCGCATAAATTTGTCTAATTTATTTTCTCAAGGAAGTAAATTATGGATTACACTAAAATAGGGGAGAGAATGTTGGTGATTTTAGTGTCATTGACTATTTTGTGTAATTGGGTTTACTTAGATCAAACAAAAATTTAAATAGACGTGGTTAAACGAGTTAGGAGATGTAGAGTGCACACTCGTTCAATGATACTACAAATTCATAGCACAAGTCTAGGGGCGGCAGCCCCCTGTAGCGTGGTCTAAGGGGTGGCAGCCCTTGACGAGGTCTAAGGGGTAGAGCCCCCACCCAGGGCCACCCGGGACAATTACTTGGAAATTTTTATTTTGAACATTACTGCTTTATGAATATTCTTTGGTTTTTTGTGAACGGAGTCTAAAAATACTCAAAAATCGAACATCTGAAAATAGGCGAAACTGCGTGCATTGTTTCGCTACAGGGATGTATCTTCATACGAACGTATGTGTCTACCTAATCATGGCTTTTCATCTCTATAAACATAGAGATGTAGGTATGGTTGATGGTAGATTAGAAGTCCTTGTTCTTGATTAACATCTTATCCGATTAAAATATTTTGGTATATCCCGAAATAACATTGATCTGAAAGCATTTTACGCGATTCGTTATAAACTATGAAGCCATTATTCTTGTTCTTCATTAATAAAGTATTCGCATCGTTCATCATCTTTCCAAAATTCTAACACCTTTAACACAATTCTCATGTCCTAATTCATGTTCTTGTTCATAGGTATTACATCTCCAATTTTTAAATTTTTGGTAATTAGTATAATAAAATTTGGAAACTGTGATGTAATTTGATGAAGAAAATAATCTATGACATTAGAATTGTGTTTGAGATAATCAGAAATACAAGATTAGAATATTGAATACGAAATAAATGTGTTAACACAACAAATTAAAAGCACTAGCTATGTTTAATTGTTCAAGGACTATTTTCAAAATAATTTTTTTGTAACTTGTAAGGATGACTTAACAAGAATTCTTTTTGTAGAGACCAAAAATAAATTGCTTATTTCAAGAAAAAAGAATAAAGTAAGAGTAAAATATTAAAAATGTACTAAAATAAGAGTTTCATGTTTAATTCGAGAAATTAGAATTAAAATGTTTTTATAGTGTCAATCACAATCATACAAATTATTAAAAAGTATTGTGAAATGTCCATATACTTACCACAATACAAACTTCTATTTTGGGGATAAAAGCATTAAACTCTTATTCTGATGTTTTTTTTATATTTTACTTATATTTAATTTAGAGTGATTTTTTAAAAAGATATTTAATCCTAAAAAATTTCAATACTCTTAAATACCGAGTAGGAGATCAATTATTCTAAATAAGACTAACAATTTAATACTGAGACAATTTCTAATAAAGAGATAGTTTTCATGATTGAAGCACAAGCTAAAACAAAAATAGTGAAACTTTAATGAGATGGAGTAGTAAATTTCTCATAAAAGGTATATTAAATCTCAACTAGATTTTTATAGAGATTTTATAAAGCGTATTAACTCTTGAAGTGTAGTATTAATTGGTTCTGTATTTCATGCCTATCTTTAGTCTTTACAACTCTTCTCTTTCAAGAATTTAATTGTTTAATCACCATCATTTTAAAAAATTTACTTCCTTCATCCCTTATAATTATTTACAATTTATCATTTTTAATTAAACTATTATACACTTTGACTATTAATTATATAATAAATTGTGTCTTAGTGTTTAAGATCACTTGTTAAGTTTAACTTTCAATATTTTCAGCGCCGCGGTTCAAATGACATTAAACTTGGCCAATGTCATAACATGACTCAAGCCTTTTACGGTGTTTTGTTTAAAAATTGATATTTCTTACTTCTCTTTCCCCAGACCCTCCTCTCTTTTGTCGATTGGCTACAGTAACCATTGATTATTCGAACGAAGTACACTAGAAGACTCGAGACATGCTATAACATTGCAATACAATGTCACATGAACCGTGTTGCATTTTGATTATGAAAAAAACGTTTGTTTATTTTTCACCATATATAAAAAGTCAACCATGCATTTACGGAGAGTAAAACAAAACATGGAGTATAATATAATGAGTAATAACATATCATGTCAAAACAAAAACCACACATACATGATCATAATTACCAATCATAAGAAAGATAGATTGAATACAATTTCCAACAAAAAGAAACACACCATTATCTATTAATCCATCATCATCAATACACAAACTTGTACAAAAACATTGAAGAATGATAGAATTTGGGATTGGGTAGAGACAACTGGATTGGGTAATAAGACACTTGAGTTAAACCACATTAAAAGATTGAATCCAATCGATTACTTAGTTCAACTCAAGGACTTATATACCGGTTTATTTTCTTTTCAAATTCCGATGTGGGATACTCTTTAACAAAGAGGAAGAAGATTTTATATATATAGACACACACACAAGAAGAAGAAGAAGAAGATACATAGATTGTACCATTGTCCTCATCACCGGCCGATGACTGGACATCCACCTCACCCTAGCCTCATCGAACATCACCAGTGGCATCTAGAGTACTGAAGTCGCACCTCCACCGTCGTAGCTCTCTCCATCCCAGTGATCTAGCTAGAGAGGATTAAGGAGGAAGATAAAACAAGAGGAGCGAGTTCAAAGTATAAAACTTGAGGTATCCTAAAATAATTATGAAATGGGTAATTAACAAAATTTTTGCATCTAATAAGTAGTGAATTATGTTGGACAAGAAGTACCACTCGAGTAATTTACTCCAAATTTTAGATGCTCTTGGAGTTATTTTAATTTTGACAATATTACCACAAAATCAAGGGTACTCGCCGAAATTAATTTTTCGATCTCACGTTAAAACAAAATAATGCATACATACATGATCATAACAAGCAATCATAAGATAGCTAGATTAAATACAACTTCAATTCCAACACATACACAAAGAACACACCAATATTTATTATTGATCATCATCATCCATACACACAAACTTGTACCACAGCAATGCATAAATTACACTAGTTAACATATAGCGACACCAAGCTTTATTATTCCATACATACAACAACAACAAAGATAGATAGATGTATATACATACATATAGATTTTGATTAAACTTATTATACAAGTAGCATATATATAAACCCAACCCAAATAAGATGATGATGAAGATGAAGATGAAGAGTGCATGGTGGCTTGAGAAGGAAGGATTCAAAGAGTTGAGGAAGGATGGGTTTGAATAGGGTTTAGAGTAGTCTTCCATGGCTCCAGCATTTTATCAATAACATCACTGTTCAACAGCTGCATCCATGTCTCATCATTATCCAATTCCTCATCATTATTCACATTATTATTAGTAGTAGTAGTAGTAGTATGATGATGATGATGATGATGAGGATGAGGATGAGGAGGAGGAGGAGGATCAATTCCAACATGGTGGTGGTGGATCCCAAAACTTTTGATGATGTCATTGAGAGAGTCGAGCCGGTCGTTGAGCTCGAGGGTTCGGGCCCTGAGGACGTCGTTCTCGGAGTCCAAGCCCGCGAGCATCTCCCTGACCTGGTCGATCCTGGCGTTGATCCCGGTCCTGGCGTGCTGGAGCCGCCTCACCTCCTCCGTCAGCTCGAGCACCAGCTTCTGCTTCTTCATCCTCGACCTCCTCGCCGACTCCTTGTTCGATATCATCCTCTTCCTCTTCCTCTCCTCCACTCCCGCATACCTCTCCTCCTCCGTCAACACACTCGGCATTCTTATTTATTATTATTATTGTATCTTCTTCTTCTTCTTCTTCTTCTTCTTCTTCTTCTTCTTCTTCTTCTTCTTCTTCTTCTTCAGGTTATATTAGGAGAAAACGTAGAAATGGTAGAGGAAGAGGACGGAGAAGGATTGAATGGCGAGAACTATAACCATAAAGATCAGAGAATGAAGTGGATAGATGTGATGAGAAGTGTAGCAGTGATGAAACGCAGCTAGCTAGCCCGGTTTTATTCCGGGGGATGAGCAAACTTAGGAAAACGACAGTAACGGAAAGAGGACTGAAAACGTGATCTATAGTAGTAATAATATATACGGAGTATATATATATGGGTGCGGATCGGACAAAGATTTCACGGAGATCTATCCTTGCTTTTCCCTGATAATCGGGGTTTACAGCCCGATGATGATGATGGTGATGATGATGATGAACAAAGAAGAAGGTGGTGCCGTGGTGGTGCATGCAGTGGTGGTGGTGAAGGAGGAGTTCTTTAACACTATGTTTCTTTCAAGGAATTTGAAAAGAAAAAGAAAAGAAAATGAAGTGAAAAACCATTTTTCTTGTTTGGTTAGAGGGGAAAAGAAAAGAAAAGTGGAAGGAAAAGAAAATGAGGAGACAAAATGTACGAAGTGGAGGGAAAACCAAATTTCTTCCATTTTGGTGAGGAAAATGAGAGAACACCATTTTCTTTTCTTTTCCTTCCAAAATCCTTGAACCAAACATAGTGTAAGTAATCTTCACGTCCCCTCATGTTTAGGCGTGATTTTTTTGAGTCTTGCACGTGACTCTTTAGAGGGTGTTTGGGAGTGATTAACTTATGGATAAAGTGATTTTCACAAAAGGTGAAAGCAAAAGCACCTCATACTTGCTTCTCTGAAATGGTGTTTTATGTACAAAATAGTGGTAGTGAAAAACAGATGCTGATATGCCAAACAGAGTAAAACCACTACTACTCAAAGCAAAATTATATTATGAAAGCAGTACACTGCCAAACACCCTCTTAGTGTTATTCAAAACTGCGTGACACTGACTTTCGAACTTTTCATACTCTCTCTGTCTTTAAATCAACTTTAGAGTTACTATTCACATGTCAAATTATGTACTCCCTCCGTCCCATAAAGTCAGTCCCGCTTTGAAAAATTTGCGTCCCTTAAAGTCTGTCTCATTTTTATTAAAAAAACACTTTTACCCCTTACTTTTTCATACCCTACCTATCATATCATACCTTTTTCCTAATAATCTACTCATCACATTCTACTTTTACCCATCACATCAAGAGTATTTTTTAAAAGTCAACATAAAATTATCCCTCCTTATTTTACTACTTTAGTCAAATCGTCCCAATCTTTATAGAACGGGGGGAGTATGAAGTATTTTATACGGAGTATTAACATACAAGTATTTTCGTTAATATATCATTTTTTAAAATAACACTCTTGATCATGTCCCATCTTTTTTAGGACTATTGATGCACCTTGGAGTCATTAATTTCTAAATTTATAATCCATTGAAAAAAATTTAGAATTTTAATTCGTTTTAGCTTGTATGCAATCAATATAGATTTTAAAAATTTATAGTAATATTTTATTAAAATAAATTAACAATAACTCCACACAAGCACTAATGCACTATTATGAATGTGTTGAGCTAGTTCATTTGAGGATGGGAAAATTATGATCTTACAAGAAAAGGAAAATATGAAAATTTAAACTTGCTAGGTGACTACATGTGTATGGATGACGAGAAAAGTGGATACGTTACTCAACTTTAACCTGCATTTCGGGCACGGTGGGGCTTGAACCGGCCGGGAGTGATTAACGTAGCACACGATAATAATAGTATGGGGTAATATTTAAAAAAAAAAAAAAGTAGGGCAGTATTAAATACTACCTCCTTTCCAGAATATTTGTTCACTTTCATTTTTATACAACATCTAATACACTTCTTTAATTCATTTTATCTTGTAATTTGTATATTAAAAAATTATAAAAATTATGAATCACCTCAAAAGAATACAAATCACGAATCGAACAAAACATATTTGATTCATTTACAACCCTACTCCCCACCCCAGCCCCTCACTCTTCCCCCACCCCCCTCTTGTCCCCTCCCCACCCTGGCATTATACTGTGTGGCAGTATGATGCCAGGTTAGGGAGGGGTGGGAGGGGGCTAACAAGTGGGCGGGAGGATGTGCGGATGCGGTGGAGGTTTAGGGGGAGTAACCGTCATTTTTAGCAGGGCACCGTACCGTATGTGCTCCAAACGAACTAGTGTTATTTTAGACGCCCTCAATATATTTTTAGTTTCGGTAAAATAAGTGACTTTTTGTTTTTTTTATTATTGTAAACGTTTTTAAGACATTCTTACGAAAAATTTTAAAATAGTCATTGAACATATATAATTAACCTTTCTAATTTATTAAGATAACCCATTTTTTGATACTCAAAATTTTAGTATTCCATTCCTACTATCTTCAGCACAATTCTCATGTCTTAATTTGTGTTTTTATTCAATTCATACGTATTACATCTTTAATTTTCAAAATTTTTGGGAATTAGTATTCCAAAATTTTAGTATTCCATTCCTACTATCTTCAGCACAATTCTCATTTCTTAATTTGTGTTTTTATTCATATTACATATTTAGTTTTCAAAATTTTTGGCAATTAGTATAATAAAATTTGGGAACTGGGATGCAATTGAAGAAAAAGATATTTATGGCATAAGAATTGTATTTGAGATAATTAGAAATACAAGATTAGATTATTGGGTACGAAGCTTTTAGTAAGGCAAAAATTTGGATTTAGTCGTAATTAAAACTTATATTTAAATTATAGTATCACCTCAAATTAGCTTTAGTTATGGTAAAAACATAAATTTTTTGATATGGTAACTAAGGCATAAAATAGAAAATGCATAATTTTTTATATAAGTTATAGGATTAGTAATTATAACTAATAAAAATGTAATATCAAAAAGTAATTATTAGCTCATACTCTAAAAATGACATGACATGTTGACGTGTAAAAAATGGCCAAGTGTATTGTCTACTTGTCGAACTCTCATGAAATGAGTCTCAAATATTATAGTAAATGATTTAATTGTTTAATCCCATCATTTTCAAAATAAAATTACTCCATATATACTTCAATTTAACTTTTAAAATTAAACTATTATACACTTTGACTATTAATAATATTAAAAAATTGGGGGAGTACGTTCATGTGACATTGTCCGGCAATATCATGGGATATGTCATTTGTAAAATTGATGACTCGTATCCCTCATAACCCTCCGACAAGCCCCCACCCTGCACCGACCCGAACCCATCTCTCACTCCTTTCAATTGCACTCTCCAAATTTATTTTACTTAGGAGTCAAAATTTTGACTCCAAATGTTATTTAAAAACCCAATGTATGTATAAAAAATCCTACTTTGACCTCAGGATTTGAGCCCCACTTTTAACGTAACGCTCTTTTAAATTTTAGAGACATTCACAGACATTCAACACACTTCGGTGTCTCTTAATATTTATGAGAGGTGGGGCTAAAGGTAAGATTAAAGATTTGGGGGTCAATGAAACATACCCCATTCAAAAAACTATTGGTAAAAAATGTCAACAATGTTTGACCAATAGTACACCTTTAGAAATAGAGTGCATATGTGTTGACCGGTAATGCTTTCCCTCTCTTTTCCTAACTCCTTCCTTCTTCATTTTTTAAATCTTTAAACTTAATACAGTAGTAAAAAGGATAAAAACAAGTGCATGTGATCTTTATATATAGGACATTGTTAACCTCTATAGCTTAATTAAGTGTGATAGTAATTGAAGATGAAACTGGTGGGGGTAATGCTTCTTCTCCTCTCCTTCCAGCCATGGCCATTATTTCCCAATATACCCTTCATCATGTCAACATCACTCATTCTAAATAAGAGAAATAATCTTAACCCCAAAGGAGACGAAGCCCCGGGTTTTCTTTCTTCTTCTTCTTCGTCGGTATACGTTGTTGGGGAGCAAGAGGGATTGAGGGAGGCGGATAAAATCGCCGGTGGCCTGCCGGAGCAACCCCCCGGAGTGGAGTTTGACCAGTACTCCGGCTATGTCACGGTGGATCCCAAGGCCGGAAGGTCTCTGTTTTATTACTTTGCTGAATCTCCTCACAGTCCCTCTGCCAAGCCTCTAGTCTTGTGGTTAGCAGGAGGTAATATTTTTAATTATTTATACCCCTGATTTTTTTTTTTTTGTAATTTATTTATTTAGTGAAACCATGGAAATGCACACATACAACCAAAAGCTCACAGATCACAACCATAGCCTAATTGAAAAGCTACCAAACAACCAAATATAACTCTTCGACTTTTAACTATTTTTAAAGAGAGTTATAAAAAATGTGAATGTTTACTAAATTACCTTTAATGAAAGTAGGTAGAATATTGAGCAAATTGTACGGAGAAATAAATAAATAAAGTGAGGATAGTTTTGGTATTTCAAATGATATGTTAATATGCCTTGAATCTGTATTGTGTTGTGAGTATGCAGATTAGTAAACGGGGGTCAGTATGCTATGTTGTTGTATTGGGCTCTAATCATTGTATTGGGTCTAGCCCATCTTGTGTGGCTATTTATATAGAGATAGAGCACAAAAACTCTGCACTTTGGAACCTCTGTCATTATGAAATCCGCCACCGTTCTTGCCTGTGGACGTAGCCAACAGAACGTTGGTGAACCACGTTAAATCTGTTTGTCTTTACGTTTTCTGTTTACTTTAATTACTCAATTATTCTATTCCGTAATAACATGTTAAAAATGTGGCGGGAAGACCTCACGTAGACAAAAAAAGACATTTCCGAGACAAAGGGAGTATTTATTTTTAAGGGTCTTTTTTTATTCTTAATATGTTGAGGATTGCCTAAAACTGTGTTTGGGAATTGATAAAGAGGCTTAATATAATTAGGGGAAATTTACTCAAATGGTACTTAAATATATCACTATTCCCTAAATAAGACCAGTCCTATATATCTACTCTAAGATTTGACAATGGAAAGTTCTAAAATGTAATGTCTTTGAGAAAAATGACAGATTACAAAAGTAAAGTAGAATAAAATATTATTAAAAAAGTTGAATAGTCATTGAAATAATCAGTCATTATCCAACACTTGTTTCTAGAGTCATTCGTATTATCGGTCAGTATCCAATACTAGTTGCTAGTGAGGGGGCATCTATGGCAGATCATATGAAATTATGTGTCATAAAGGAAAATATTATACTTGGTCTTATTAATGGAAATGTACTATCTTTTAGTCCTATATGAAGCAAATTTTTGTATAACTAGATGTGTGTATGTATATGAAGGACCAGGAAGCTCATCACTTGGATATGGATCATTTTTGCAAATTGGACCTTTCAAAGTGCACAGTGATGGGAAAACACTGTACAAGAATGACTATTCTTGGAACAAAGGTAAGCAGTTTTGGAAGTTTGGTTGGCAAGTGTAGGTATTGTTCGTAGCTGGAAATGTGTTGTGTTAGCTAAAGGTTAAAGAAAAAAGTTAGGTGTATCTCAAACTTTGTACTTCAACTTACGCACCAGTGTATTGCAGACACACACAAAAAATCACTTTTTGTGTGTACAAAAACAATGGGTGTGTGTCTGTGATACACTTGGTGCGCAAGCTAGGGTAACCCTGGCTAACACACCTCAAAGGTTAATTACAAGTGATCTGGAGCATGAATGAATGGAGTTTGGTTGCATGTGACAGTGGCAAATGTGTTGTTCCTGGAATCGCCAGCGGGAGTGGGATTTTCCTACTCAAACACAACTTCTGACTATAACACCACGGATGACAAGAGAACAACCGCGGATGCGTATTCCTTTCTTGTAAACTGGCTCCAAAGATTCCCACAGCAAGAACCGGGAACTTTACCTGTCAGGAGTGAGCTATGGTGGGCGTTTTGTGTCCGAGCTTGCTTACACCATTCTACTCCATAACAAAAATCCCACTCTACCATTCATCAACCTCAAAAACATTGCAGTGAGTTGAGTGTTATTGATCGATCTTTATATATTTAACTCTTGCATCAAAGAATAATTGTTCGCTGATACTGCGCTGACTGAGAGCTACTCAAAAAGAGAAGAAAATGTTCGATTAGTTCGATAGATTTTTGTTTTTTTTGTTTTTTGTTTTTGTAGATTGGGAATCCAGTCCTGGATATTCATTTAGCATCGAAAGGAAACATAGATTATCTATGGGCACACGCGATGGTCTCAGACGCAACTCATGAAGCAATAACAAAATACTGTGATTTTGAGAGCGGAAACTATTCTGAAAAGTGCAAAGAGTACATCTCTAGAGCAAATTCGGAGGCTGGGCCTGTGCTTAGAGATAACATTTACTCTTATAACTGCACCCCCGCTACAAAAAACGCCGCATCAAAACCTCAATCTCCTCCTGTTTCGGTGTGCATTCGTTTCGTTTCGTTTCCATAAAATCTGTTGTTTTTATATTATCTGATGTGTAAAATGATGACGATCGATGATGAAGGGATTCGATGAGTGCTCGCGCTATTATGTGGAAGCATACCTTAATCGAAGGAATGTGCAAGAAGCATTGCATGCTACCAATACCAATTGGACAATTTCCAGGTACTAACTTAGCCCCCTCTCCTTTCCTTTCACAATCTGATCGAACGAACACAACCAAAAGCTCAAATAATATGATATTTAAATCCAACGATATATATGAATGCTCTTAACATGATTTGTGCTATATATAGATGTTGGTTTTCTGTTTTTTTTTCTTTGTTGGGATAAAAATGAATGAGACTGAGTTCATGCAGCAAGTACGTTGGCCGAGGGAACTGGAATAATATGCCTGTAACGGTTATTCCTATACTCAAGCGCCTCATTGAAAATAAAGTACACATATGGGTTCTGAGGTAAAGTAATTAATTTCATACAGATGTAAGGATTATATATTAGGTTAAAATCCACCATTGGTCCTTCAACTTTGTGAGTTGTGCACGATTGGTCCTTCAAGTTTCAAAAGTTCATAAATAGTCCTTCAAGTATTCAACAACCTCTAAATCCAGTCCTTTAAGTTTCAAATGTCCATAAGTAGTCCTTCAAGTATTCATCAACCCTCCAAGTGCAGTCCTTTTTACGGTACGCGTTAAAAGCTAAACGGAGTACTAGCTCCATATATATAACTTCGGACCTGCAATGGGCGCCAGATGTAACTAGCTCCATATATATAACTTCTGCCTCAATACCAGATGAAACTTCCGACCTGCAATGGGGGGTGCTCGATGCTGGTCCCGTCCACCAAGCAGCGCAGTGGGTCTTTTCCTCCCATTATAAATGCTGGAGATAATTTTATTTTCAAGGGGTTCAATTTGTATAGTAAAGAACATAAGACTGTTAGAATAAGTGCCCTTCACTAGAGGGGGGGGTGAATAGTGAGGCACGAGAATGTTTATAAATTTTTGCGGAATAAAAATCGCAGGGATAAAGTAAAAACGTAAAAAATAAAGAGCGTAAAAAAGCGTAAAGAGAGCACACCAAGATTTATACTGGTTCACCACAACGTGTGGCTAGTCCAGTCTCCCGAGAGACTCTCTCGAGCTACACTACTTCCGTTAAGCTTACGGGTGCTTAACAAACCGTTACAACTTGAGAACTCGAGTCCCACGAGCCTCAACAACACTTGCTCGGAGATGCCGCACTCCAAGACTTCAACCCGAAGGAATATGCCCTTCCTTCGTACAACCAAGGGAACAAACCTCCTTTAAAGTTTTCACAACACTTAACCACTCAAGAAAAAAAACTCTCTTAAAGAGTAGAATATGAGTAAACTAATTTAGATCAAGAACACACTCAATTCCTCAAGAAATGACTCTAAAAAGCTATGTAAAAGTTTATGGAATGATGCAATGTAAAGATATGAAATGTGTGAGGAATGGATGTGAAAAGTAGACCCAAGAGACCCCTTTTTATACCCAAAAACAAGGTGCAACGGTTGGGAAAAGATTGGGGTTGATTAGCTTGATTTGTGGAAATCAAATAAAAGTGGATCTGCTGAAATCTAGCCCGACAGCGCTGTTCATATGGTGAACATCG